TATTTTGGGTATCTTTTTTTTTTTTCCCCCTCTTTTCTGGAAGTGTGAAGCATCTTCTCCTATGTAATAAAACTTGACTTGGTTTCTTTGTGTGTGTGTGTCTTTTCCCTGTCTCATTTTTTCATGAATTTCTGGAAAATTGCCTCAAATTTATTTTCTATACCTTCTAGTGAATATTTCATTTCTTCTATTATGCCGTTAAAGGGAAATTATTCTGACATTTGTAAAAATCACTTTATTTTGGATTGATGTTAGGGGTGCACTAGTCTACTTTGGCTATCCTAGCAGAATACCATAGGTTGTTTGGCTTAAGCAAGAAAACAACTTTCTGACAGTTCAAGGCTGAAAGTTCAAGATCAGGGTGCCAGTGTAGTTGAGTTCTGGTAAGGATTTCTGTAGTTGAGTTCTGGTAAGGATTTCCGTTCTTTTCTTTTAGATGACTGCTACCTTACTCTGCTCACATGGCATTTCCTCACTATGTGCATGTGCTCTTCCTCCTTTTTTTTTTCTTTTAAGGATTTTATTTATTTATTTATGCATACAGAACTGGGATACAGGCCAGATGTGCAGGGGCCATGAGAGAATTCACCAGGGACAGAGTGGGGAACAGAACAGGTAAATCAATGAGAAGTACATTGTCGATGGAAGCAGCAGGCAGATCAGGAGAGATCTGCTGTGTCATGTGTGTCACCTCTGGGGCCGGGGATCAAACTCACACTGAAGTGGCCACCTCCACTGCACACCAACCTCTCCAACCAGGGGAAGGTCCACTTTTCCTCTTTTTAGGGAACTGCCAATCCAGTTGTGTAAGACCCACCATTATGGCCACATTGAACTTTAACTATCTCTTTAAAGCTCTGTGTCTAAGTTCAGTCACATTGAGCATACAAACCTTAGGGGACATATAGTTCATTCCACAGTAGACATACATTCATTTTATATTGATGGGTATTACAATAGGGGAGAGAGATTAGGCTCAGTTTTGAATACAGCAAAGACAGTTGGGGACTGATAACCAGTGAGTAGAGTGAGGGACTCACTAGATGCAAAATTACAAAGAGGAAACAGTAAGGGTAGGAGATTTTTGCTAAGGTGACTTAATGACATTATTTTTTTTTAAAGCAAATCATGGATTTATAAATCAAGGGTAGAGGGGATCAAGAACATGATCAGATCAGGTGGGGGGATTTCTCTAACCTAACTTAGCATGATTCTTGCTAAAACTGACCTGTGCCGAACAATGCAGACATGTAAGCCTCCTTGAGGCTTCGTCAAGGAGCAGTGCCAGAAGAGCCTAACTCAGGTTTGGTTAATGAGAGAGCTTTTATGAGCATGGGGAAGGTTTTGTATATGCATCGTAATTGTTCTGGCATTTCTCATTCCAGAAAAACATCATTCATCATACTTGTTTCTTTTCTCTTATCCAGAGACTATCCCTTTTCAACTTCTCCTTCAAATTACATAGTAATGTAATTTGGGTAGATGTTTGCATAGCAACAAGGAATAGATCAGTGATTGGTGTTAGAAATCTCTCTCAATCAACTTTACCTATTATTCCTTACTTTAGACTCCTTCATTTTACCCTTGGTTTGCGAAGTATCTTACTTCTTATATCTTTTGAGATTTAGTAGTCTAATTTTAGTTACTATTCATGTTTTCTCATTCCTAACTCAGGATTGAGATCTCTCTCAGTTTGCTGTATCAGCCATTTGCATCCCCACTTCCAGAATGTTGTTGCCATTGTATCCTTTTCAGTTCATCTTGTCTTCTGGACTGATGTCTTTTAAAAGAATCCCTTTATTGTACATTTGGGTGTGTGTGTGTGTGATGAAATAGCAGCATTAGTTGTGTGTCTTTGAATCTATTATCATAACTGGGACGTTAGAGCAGATAGTTGAAAGTGGGAAATAATTTAAATCATTCAGGCTAATATTTCAACTTTTGTTGATTTTGGGGGTTTTGCTTTGCCATGATTTTTTTTTTTTTCTTCCAGATTTCCTCTTGCCTCCCAGCTAGATAATGTAATTATTCTTAAATGACCCCTCATGGCTGTTTGTAATTTTCCTTAGTATGTAGAACTACCACAAGACCATTTTTGTTGCAATTTACTGGTGATTCAAAACAAGGGACATGAGGTAGAAATGTGATGGCCTCTCTTGGGTGTTGTTATGTAGGTGATCTCAGTTTTATGTCACTTAATTCTTGTAGCAGTTGTATATGCATAAGGTTCAAGATAATGGTTAGGGTGATAAAGTAAACAGCTAAGAGTTAGTTATACAGTAGTGGAGCTTACTTTTTTTTAAATTTAAATTAAATTTTTTTTTATTTATATACCCAGAATTGGAATACAAGCTAGAGGTGCAGGGGTGGTGAGAGGATTCATCAGAGACAGAGTAGGGAGCAGAACAGGCAGATCGATGAAGTACACTGCTGAGGGGAGCAGCAGGCCTGTCAGGAGAGGTCTGCCGCCCCATGTGAGTCACCTCTGGGCCAGGGATGGAACTCTTACTGAAGCAGCTGCAGCTAGCTTGCAGTGCTGCATCCTTACTGGTTGCACTACCAGGGAGGGCCCAGAGCTTACTTTCTAATGCAGGTGTTCTTTTATTTTTTAATATATTTATTTTTATTTATTTATGCATACAAGAGCTGGAGTGTAGGACAGATGTGTGGGAGTGGAGTGAGAGGGTTCACCACAGATAGAGGGGGGACCAGAACAGGCAGATTAACTGAAAGACGCTACTGACTGGAGCAGTAGGTAAGATAGGAGAAGTCTGCTGTGTCATGTGTGCCACCTCCCTGGGCAGGGATAGAACTCATGCTGTGGATAGCTTCATAGTTCTGCTCTTTATCCCGTTGTGCCTGCAGGGAGGGCCCTTTTTTTACCTGGGTTTTAAGAACTTTCCACACTTTCTAGTCTACCATCACCTTTTATTCTTCTCAATCTGCGTGAACAGTTTACCATTTTTTCAGTGAATATTGAGTGGCCACCTCTGTGTTGTACCTTGAGGACACTGAGAAGACTAGTCCTTTCAATAAGGTTTCTGATTTTCTGTGCAGACTAGCAAGAATAAGAACAGTGATACTAAGTAGTTCTGAAGTCCTTCAGTAAAAAGCTCTGTTGGTTTTAATTTGAATGGCAGAGAAAATGCAAAGAAGTGGGTAGATTTGAAATAATCATTTGAGGTAAAAAGATTAGTTGGGAGTGATAGAGATTTGGGGAAAAGTTGGGGAATTGAGGATGACTACAGGTTTGATCTGAACTGAATGTTGGTGGTGCCTTTACTGGTAAGAGAAAGAACAGGCTATTGTGGTAGGGCACAGTACCAGCAATGTCACATCTATTAGATATATTCATGGCCCAGTATCTAGGAGGCAAGTACATACTGGGAACTGAGAGGTGCTTTGGACTGGAGAAATGAATTTGGGTATCACACACTTATAATGATATTTGAAGCCACTGGGACTGGCTATAATTATCTAGGGAAAGTGTATGGATGTAGGTGTGGTGATGTAAGTGATTTATTTCAATGGAGAATCCTCATTTAATGTCTTAACTCAGATTATACTTAATCCTAATAGCATTTGCTGCTACTTCAATGAAGAATCCTCATTTAATTTCTTAGCTTGGATTATATTTAAGCTTAATAGCATTTGTTGGATGGGTAAAGCAAATCCCATCATGTAGTTGTGGCATTGAAGTCATTACCAAAAAGCCTTTGTAAATATGACAATGGTTAGTGGCTTTTTGATTAAATTGTTTGCCAAACATCTTTGACTTTTATGAGAGGCTAGACCTGAGGCATTCCAGATGAGGAATCCCAGTTTTGAGAAAGCTGTACAAGAAATGATGTACGTATATCAATTCTTTCAGTATAAATGAGTAGTGAAAAATAAGTTCCCATTGAGATGCTGAAACTAGAACATCTGGAAACCACTAACCACTCACTTACTGATTCATTGTTAGTCTCATAACATCCAAGCTCATTAAAATCAGATTTTTTACATGTCATGAACACTTGGATACTCTAAATAGCATAATAATAAGTGTTAAATATGAAAATTCCCAATATGAAATAAACTTTAGGGGAATACTTGAAGAAATAGATTAGAATTCACAGTAAGCAAAAGCTGGAAACAGTCCTTGTATTCATCAGTAGGAAGGCAGGTAAACTGTGGTGGTCTGAAATCTTTTAGTGGGCAGAGTAAACAACAGAATGGGTGAATAGCAAAGCCATTTTGCTGAATGAAAGAAACTGGATACAAAAGTATCCATATACTAGTCTTCTTATATATAAAGTTGAAGAATAGGCAAAAACTAATGAGAGGATGCTTTTGAGGGATAGGGGTTGACAAGAGGGAGGCCTGAGTGAACTTTCTGGGGTGATGGAATCTATACTGATTGGAATGTTAAATTGGTATAGACATTTATATAAGTTCATCAACTTGTTTATTTAGGATTTATAAATTTCACTATATGTAAGTTTTATATCAGTAAAAATCGAGAAAACAATAAAAACAACTATATTGAGCAATGCTGTGAGGATTAGTGTAGGGAGTGCATAGGTGAGGCAGCTCTGTGGACTCAGATTGTCAGGGACAGTATTCCCAAAGAAGTAATGCCTCACCTTTCTCATTTTAACCCTCCACATCTAAAATGACAAACTGTGCAACTCATAATACTTTAGTTATTGAAAGGAAGTGGTGTTCCAATTTAACACTGGGATAACAAGTAAGCATTTCTATTTCTGTGCTGCTCTAGTCTTACTATACTGTAGTGACTGCTGTAGGAAGGGTAGAAGAATGTGTGCTTTGTCCATATCCAAAGGTGGATAATGGTGGGCAGGAATCAGCAAGAGAGGAGGAGAGTGCTGATCACCTGCGGCAGAAGTAGATGTGTTTCTGTGAGTTGTGCTGTTTACATGTCAACTTTACAAAATATGTCAACCTTTTTTTTAATTTCCAAAGTTATTCATGTTACTTTATTTATTCCTTTGAAACAGGTGATACTGGATAGCTCCCTTCAAAAATGGAAGATGGAAAGCCTGTTTGGGCTCCTCACCCTACAGATGGATTTCAGATGGGCAATATTGTGGATATTGGCCCTGACAGCTTAACAATTGAACCATTGAACCAAAAAGGCAAGGTGAGTTTCTCAGATTTCAAAATTTGCTTTTGTTTTATTGGTATCTCCTTTTCTTAATGAAATAGACATCTGTAACACAGTTTAGGGAAAAAGTAGTTTTCTGGTAAATGAAATCTTAATTCTTTGCTAAGTAATTTGGTTAAATCGAAAGTATATGTCCTAAGGGAGAAAATGATGTCTTATGGTAAAAAGAGACTGAAATTTAGGGAGCCTTTCATGATCACATTCTTAAGAGGAAGTAACTATATGATAAACTATAAATACATAATAACATCTTTATTTCTTTTCCTGAAGTTATTCATATGTTTGTGATATTTGACTGTTGCGTCGGCTATACTGATTAATGGGAGTCGTGGAGCAGGCTTCTTTTGCTGCTGAAAAGGCAAGATCCTGGCCTTTTTATTCTTTGAATAATCATATAGCATCAGTTACAAAGATGGGTGAAAAAGATGGCTAAAACTGAAAATGTTTTTTTATCATCTGGGGCTTCAGGGGCAATTGAGTCTGCTGACCAGATAATTCTTATCTGGCTGATGACCAAGTGTTGTAATCGAAACTATACCCCAGATCCTCTGCCATGGTTCTAATCTTATCAACAAGGTGTTCCACTGATCAGCTTCTGGGGTCCCTTAGTAAGCATCAGTCCATGGCCTGGGTGCTCTTGGTCATACCTTGTGACTCATATCCTTCCCAGGGTGATCAAGCTTTCTGCTCTTGGTTGATTTGATAGGCACCTTGTAAGTCTTAGCTCCTATGCCTGATTGACCAGGCAGTTTGACCTTACATAGGAATGCAGAACTGAAGGTAACAAAAATGGTGGCCAAATAGGCCGCCTAAGTCTGGTAGACCCACACTCAACATGTTAAAAAGTGAAAACATGAATAGTGAATGGAATTAGTTATCAAATTTTGCTTTTTGTGTGTTTCTATAAAATTCTTTATAAAAAAGCCTGGGGTTTTAAGTTTATTAGCCTGGCATTGGAGTAAATATATTTCTGTTAAGTGAAGATACTTAAGTCTTAAATCTTTCAGTTTTTTTCTTATGCTGGTGGTTTTTTTTTTAAAGCATTAAGTCATACATTAACATTGTACACAGGTTTCTATTTCCTTTTGTGCCAGGTCTACATAGGTAGTTTTATAAACTGGATTTTAGGGGAAAAATGAGCTGGAGTTTTTTCAGTCTTTATGGGGATTATGAAAGTTGGTTTTTGTGTGAAATCTTCACAATTTACAGTTTAATAAATACTCTTCTTAAACAGGTCTTGTGACTAAATTAAATTTGTTGAGGTCATTTCTGTTTACTTTAGACTCCGAATGTTCATGAATAATTTATACTCTGCTGATACATGGTTAACTAATGCCATATGACTGCCATCCTTCTGGGAACCTTAGAAAAACAAGGCGAATCTCTCATGAGGTCTTTTCACAGAGAAAACTATTCTGTTACTGTAAACAACCCAGGAACCTAAATGCATAATATATAATGTGCCATGTTAGAGGAGGCCAATTAAAGGAACCCTCAGAAAATAAAAGACAAAGCAATTCTAGTTTTTCCTTTTATTAACAAATACCTATCTGTACTTACAATGATGTATGTTAAAATATGAAAAAAAATGCTTAGTTATTTTTATGTATTTGAATTTGGAGAGGAAAATTTTCCTTGTCTCTGTATCTAAGAATTAAACTGACATACTACAGTTTCACGATAGAAAATCATATGCCCCTTGAAATTTTTGCATATATGTGAAAGCCCTCACAGGAGAAGGATGATTCAAAGTGCAATGGGAACAGAACCATTTTTATGCCTTTTATTCGCAATATATTTGTGAATAATTGATAAAACCAAAGAGTCTGGACTAGGGGCAGTAAATTATAGAGAATTAGTTTAGGAAGATAGGATTAGTTTTTTTTTTTTTTTTTTTAAAGATTTATTTATTTGTGCATACAGAACTGGGGTACAGGCCAGAGGCTCAGGGGTGGCGAGAAGCCTCACCAGAGACAGAGCGGGGAGCAGAACAGGCAGATCGAGGAAGTACACTGCTGAGGGGAGCAGCGGGCGGGTCAGGAGAGGTCTGCCACGCCATGTGGTCACCTCCGGGGCAGGCGGGAATCGAACTCATGCGGAAGCGGCTTTAGATTCTCAGTGCTGTGCTTTAACCCGCTGCGCCACCAGGGAGGGCCAGGATTAGTTTTAACAAGGTCTGTTTGTACATATTTCTCTCCATCTCATTCCCTTTCTCTGGTAATGATTGCTGTCTTGCTTCTTCCTGATACAGGGAAGCCACATTTCACCTGGGAGTCTTTTTCATTATTTTTAGGAATAAAAAAGAACTTCAGAGCAGTTCTTATACCTGCTGTTTCTCAGTGCCTTTAACTCAAAGTAATACAACAAAGTAGTGTATTTTGAGTGACATGCTCTGAATTCAAAGTCTTTTTCATTTTTGTTTAACATTATATAAGTGTTAGTAATTCAAAAGGGCTAAATGAAGTGAAAAACATATTTCTAGGTATATTTTTACATAATTCTGTTACATCGATAGGTGACACAATAATTTAGTTCAAGCATAGAAGAAACTTCTTTTATGGGTAGAAGCTTTTTCAGGTTTTAAATATTATGTTGTGCTTTCTTCTATGCTTTACTAATATTAATCAAGTACACACAAAGAACCAGTGACGACACTTTAAATTGTGAAGACATAAAAATTTATGGTTCTGTAGATAACTTTTTAAAAAGGATTCAATTTATTTATGCATAAAAGAACTGGTGTGGGGACCAGATGTGTGGGGACTGAGAGGATTCACCAGAGACAGAGTGGGGAGCAGAACAAGCAGATCTATTGAAATACACTGCTGAGGGGAGCAGCAGGTGAGACAGAAGTCTGCTGTGCCATGTGGGTCAACTCCCTGGCTGGGGATCAAATTCATGCCTCAATGGCTGGCAGTAGCTTAATAGTGCTGTCTTTAACTTCTGTGCCATCACAGAAGAGGCCCCTCTGTTGATTATTTGTTCCTCCTTACATTGTTATTTTTGCAGTAATAACCACCTCATCACCTGTGAAAACTTGTGCTTGCCCCTCCCCTGTTGACCACTCTCCCTCCCTGCTGTATATCTAGATCTACAGTTTGCTTGCAAGTTTTGTTTTATTTTTGTACCCCTTGTTTGGTTTTCCTATATCTCTCCTATGAGTGACACCATCTGATATTTTTATTTTTCCTTTTGACCTTATTTCACTGAGCATAGTCCCTTCTAGCTCCATCCATGGTACTGTGAATGGCATGAAGTTAATTTTTTTGATTGCTGAATAGTATCTTCATGTGGATCTGTAGATAATTCTATAAACTAAAGTCTGACTTTTTTTTTCTCCCACAAAAACCTTGTTTTTGAGAAATACAGATTCTCAGGAATTGCTTTTAATCTTAACTTGACCCCCTTTCTGTGTGGGGTCTTTATAAATTGTAAAGTGTCATAGTGAATGATCTATATGTTTTTTCCCTAAATAATTCATGGTCTGGAGACCAACATTTTTAAATAGTAAGGAATTAAATGCGTATAATGATGGATGAGCCAAGTAGATCTATGTGCTGATATAGTAGGAACAAAGAGCATAGAATAAATAGCTGTGATGGAAACCTGTCTTGACGACAGCAATAACTTAAAAATTTGGGATTGTGGCCATCGTAAGAGAGAGATTTCACATTGCTTTAGGTATATATGTATATGTGTGTGTGCATTTCTTAAACACATATATTGAGAAATAAATTTTACATGTTAACAAGTACTATACGTGTACATATTCATAAATGAAAGTCTTAGCATTTATATGGATTTTTTTGATATCTTTTATCCTCTTAAAAATGTTGATAAGTGTGTGTAAACATTACCTCAATAAAAATAATGCAATTAAAAATATCTGTCTTAAACCTCTAAAATAAATGGTTTCAGTTTCTATATTTTCAGCAGACTGGCCTTTATGCTAAAGCCCTAAATGTGTCTACTTATTCTTTTCCCTGTTTACTTTGCAAGTCTCATCTTTTGTCCATGGACAGTGACCTCCGCATACTCTTGGTATATGCTTATTCTAATGGCCTTTCTGTTCCATCTTCCCCTTCCACAGTGTTTATCAAGCCCTCCCATGAGCCAGGTGGTGTTAGGGCTCTGTATCCTTGCTCACAGCTGTCCTTTGGCCTGGATGGCACTTGGCTTAGCAAATACCTCTCTGTCAAGACACAACTGAGCTCACCTTCTTTATTAAGTTTTCCCCACAGATGCGCAATATTTCCTTTCCTTTCTCCTCCGTCAGTGGAATTTATTGATTATTTCTTCCTTTGAGGGTAGTATAAATTTTTGGCCTCCTGTACTCCTTTATTAGAGACACTTGGTTATATTTTGGATATTTTTCTCTTACATATTCTAGTCTGTAATCTCAATTGCAGGGACTGTTTTGTCCTTGGAGTTTCATGTATTGTGTTTGACATGTAGTAGATTTAATGTGGAGCAATTAGCGTGCTTTGTTATGTAGTCTTTTGGAGAATAAAAGCCTCTACCTACTGGGAGAAAAACACTTGCTTTAAATGAAGCAGATTTTCTCATTGAGTATGTGGTAAAGGGGGAAAGATGAAGGTTGGTGATAATTTAGGGGACAAAGGAAGAGGGAGGAAAAGATCTTAGGATTCACTACTCACTTTTTCATATTGCTCTTTATCTTGCCATTGTAGGAACTCTTTGTCCTCCATTTCTCCCAACTCCCATCTCCCCTCACTCCTTCATATTGTTTTTACCTTTTGGGGTGTTTTTATTTCATATGTCTGTTACAGGGAATTCACTCCTGAATTCTGGGGAGTCCTTACCAATATAACCACAAATGTGTGGCACATAGGTCTCTGACAATAACAGTTATTTACTAATTGTATTTCCAACAGTTATTATAAATTGTGTTTTATTTACATTACCAGTAACATACCAATGCACATTTTGGATTTGTTTAGATTTTATCATTTATTTTCTAAACATTTCCACATTTATGACATTATGGACATATGCACAAGGTTTCAGATAGCTAACTTCCAGAGTTTTTAAGGCATAACATCGTTCCCAATTGTGTATGACTTTGAATTGAAGTAGTTCTAGCAGCCTGAGTTTTAATCTATAAATTATAGCAGTTACTTTCTTCTATACCTTTGCATAGACCAACAAATATTATTTTAATACAACCAAACAAATTTCCTCTAGGGTTTTATTCGATATGGATGGAAACTTCAGCTAAAAGTAATTGTAATTGTTTAAAGAACATAAACTTACAGATAATTGTTAGAATGGCATGGGTAAAATTTAATTCTCTGTGGATGTAATGTGAGATCATATCTTCTCGCTTACAAGATACTATCTTAATTCTAAAATTTCTCCCACAGTCTTTAAGTGATATAATAAGTACAGATGTATTCATGGGTACCTACAGTTTTGTGAATCAAAAAGTCTTGGATGCTGTTTATAATTCTGACATATTTCTGTACAGGAATTTATGTTTAATGTGTTATATTCAAGCAATAGCATTAAATATATAATACAGTCTTTTCTGTTGCTATGGTTACTGAATGTTAATTTTTTTTCCTTTTTTAAAACAAAATTGCTACATGCAAACATTAAACTTTTTATTGTTCAAAAAGGCTAAGTAGCATCTACCTCTGTGAACATTTTTTGTTTCGTCTTTTCTAGGTTAGAACACAGTGCAGTTTTTATTTACACCCATTTTGGTTTCATGTTCATGTAATAGTGAATGGTATATTTGGGTAAAATTATTACCTTGTTTTTGGGTTAGTGGCTCGTTAAATTATACGATCTTACATTTTAACGAAGAGCATATTGTTGCACTTATGTATGCAACTAATTAAGGTCCTTTATTTTTCTTACTATTTATAAGCCTCTAATGAGTTTTTGTTTTGTCTGTTAGACATTTTTGGCTCTCATAAACCAAGTGTTTCCTGCGGAAGAGGATAGTAAAAAAGATGTGGAAGATAATTGTAAGTATCAGAAAAAAGATCATTCTTACCAACTAAGGGAAGTTTTGCAAAAAGACAATTCTGGTGTCATTCACACGATAAAATTGTCCTCCCTATCCATTTCTTCTGCACCTCCTCTTTTCTCTCATAACCGCCATATTTTTCATGGAGTGTGTTATTTTTGTTGTGTTGAGTTATTTATTTATTTTCTAAAGATTTATTTATTTATTCATATAGAACTGGGGTACAAGCCAGAGATGTGGAGGGTGAGAGGATTCACTAGAGACAGAGTGGGGAGCAGAACAGGCAGATCTATGAAGTACGCTGCTGAGGGGAGCAGGGGGAGGGTCAGGAGAGGTCTCCCACGCCATGTGGTCACCTCGGGGTCAGGCAGGGATCGAACTCATGCGGAAGTGATTTATCGAACTCATGCGGAAGTGATTTTAGCTTCTTAGTGCTGTGCTTTAACCCGCTGTGCCACCAGGGAGGGCCATATGTTGAGTTATTTTTAACCTCATCTAGAATCAGGTGATTTTTATAGTAGTGTTTGTGGTTTAATAATTTGGAAATTGAAGTGAGAGAAGACATTATTATCACTGTTTGGGGGAAGCACCCATTAAAATAATAATGTATAGTATGTATTAATTGAACATTTGATTTCAGAAAAGTAAAGTGCAACTATTTTAGTTTACTTGGTGAAAAAAATCTTTCCCAGTGAATAGGCCATTTGTTATTTTTTTCAAGCTTAAGTAGTAATTATATTGGCAGATTTAAGAATTGTGTCCAGAAAGAGATTGAGAAGAATTATGTGGCACTCCCTTTCTTTCCAAAATTGCTGGAGGATTTATCTGATGGGAAATTTTTTTCTTTCTTTTCTTTCTTTCTTTTTTTTTTAAACAGCAATCTCTCCAACAAGACAGAAAGGAATGAAATTATATCCAAGATAAGGGAAAAACGTCTTTCCTGTGGAAACATTCTAGGAATTAATCCTTTTCATATATTCCATTTGTTTTGTTTATATAGCTTCATATAGCTAAAATAAATGATTTTGAGTATTTTAATCACTTTTTAAAATATTTTAAATGTTCTCTCTCTGGTTATTTCATCTGAAGCACTTGTCCAACTTTTCATTTTTTCCAGCTGTAGTGTGGATTTGTTGCCTCTTGCCAGACAAACAGCAGTGTTAATTGTACAGATGTTAATTTATACTTGTCACATGGTAGCATGGCCTACCAGAAGTCCCTTTCCTGAAACCACATGTTAATGCACATTAGTTATTGGGCTTGGAATGTTGGTTGTATTGCTTAAGTGATTTTAGCACTTAGAGTTTTTAAGTGAGTTTAGCACTTAGATTTAAGGCTTGACCCAGTACCACTGTTCTCTGTCAAATTTATCTTTAGCATTATTTTTCAGGGTCTGTCATGCATAATCTGAAATCCTTTCCTGTTCTCTGTATCATGATATAACATGATCATTAAAACTTGATGTCTATTAAGGAGAGACAAGAGTTGCAATTTGATAGTGCCCTAAAATTGCACAATTTATTAGCTATTTATAGCTCTAAGTTTTCTATGCAAGTATCAGAAAGGTTTCAAATGTGGAGATTACTATTGCCTTTTTTACCTGACTCTAGTATTAATACTAGAAATAGGAAAATAATTCAGGTATGTGAAGTCAGTAATTAAAATAACTTTTTTCATACTGATTTTAGGCTGCTGTTACTTATATATCATAAAGTAATTTTCTGTCATGACTAGAAGCTGAGATAAAGTACAGATTATAAAACCCCCAAAGTTTGCTGATTTAGTCTCTTTTAGTGATGAAATCACTTTTACAACAATACAGCTATTGAGTTGAGCTTCTATGTTGAACTTCTTGTGTGTTCCTTTTTTCTTTTAGCCAGTCAGAACTGTAATGAATAATAAGTAGGGTTCAAATCTCAGATAACTTCTTAGATATCTAGATTTAGTTGTTCATTTATATCCACTCTTCATTAGAAACCTTAGGTATGTTTGATATATGTTTATTAAACCAAAATATACTGTTTAGTGGATACATAAAGAAATAGTTTATTTTTTGTTATGCTATATATTTAAATTTGTTTTAAAATGGTTTTAATATTGAATATAGTTAAAATATATGAAAATTAAGGCATAAAAAGTGAACAGTTCACAGAAAGGATGGTACATAAATAACTAAGCAAAGGTGTCTTGGGGCTGGCTATTAGGAGAGGGAAGTAGAAGCTGAATTAGGTGGGGCAGGAAGTTATTTCTGAAACTGTGAACATCCTGCACCATACCTTTAGAGATGTGTAGTCAATTGGGAGTTACCATTTCCCATTGTGGTACAGTGAAGGTAGTGCATATTTTCCTCTGTCTTTCCCTTTCTATGTCTTCATGAAAATGGAATAGCCTGAGTAGCATGATTTCAGAGGAAGATTCCTGTCCAAATTCTTATTATCTTTGGCAGATATTTCACCAGATAGGTATTTATTTGGTTAAATTAACAGATGTCCTTGAGAAGTCTAAAAGCAATATGGAAGAAGGTAAAGAAATGAGAGCTTGTTTGTTTGTTTGTTTTTCCAGGGGAATCTGAATTGTGGGAATAGGAATTGTTAGTAGAAGCAGAGAGAATATCACTCAACCAGTAGTTCAGAGGGATGTGGGAGAAGGGGGAGTGTTTCAGCATTGTGGTCTTGATAAGAAAAGGCAACATGTAGATCAGGCTCCTAGAAGACAAGAGTGGAATAAGAGCAGGTATTACGTAGAAATTATAGGAGACCAAAACCCCAAACGAGACACACCTATGTTGCTGACCCCCTCCATATCTTTCCACCATTTTAGGAAAGCTGCCAACCACTGTTAGGAATCTCCATCACTGTGACTCTTTTTGTTCTGCATTAAGTGGAATTAGGGAACACTGAGGGATATGTCCTTGAGAAATGAACTGGCTGCATTGTCTTAAGTGTGAAACATGGACAGTCTTGTTGAGATAGGCAGAGAAAGAGAATATTGTTTGACAGAATTAGTTAGGTGTTGAATTGTGTATTACATACATGCAGTGTAGGCCTGTGAACTTCGATGAGTGAACAAATCAACAAATCAACAAATGAGTCAGGTAAGGTCCTGCCCTCAAGGATCTGGATTCAGTAGCAAACACTAGATATACAATTTTTTTGTTGTTGTTGATTAAAATTTATTTTCTTACACTATTGTTCATTTTTGTACAGTATTTGACTTCTCCTCTCAGGTGTAGTCCCACCACCACATCATTCACGAACCACCACCATAGTCCTTGTATTCTCCCCTCCTGTTTTGACTCCACTGTGCTGTATGCCTCAGGTCTATAGTTTACTTGCAAGTTTTGACCTTTTTTTTTTTGACCCTTGTTCAGCTCCCATATATTCCTCATATGCATGACATCATCTAGTATTTTAATTTTTTTTTTTTCCACTAGCTCCATCCACGTTTCTGTGAATAGCAGGGTTTATCTTTTTGATTGCCAAATAATACTCCATTTTGTATATATGCCACATCTTCTTGATCAGATCAATTGTTTTGGGACATTTGGGTTATTTCCATATGTTAGCTGTTATAAATAGTGCTGTAAACACAGGAGTGCAGGTTTCCTTTTGAATTATTGTTTTTGTGTCCTCTGGGTCATATGGTAGGTTATTTTTTAGTAATTTGAAGGACCTCCACATGACATTTCATAGTGGTTGGACCAGTTTGCATTCCTACTAGCACTGTAAAAAGAGTTCTTTTTCTTCACATTTGCACCAGCATTTGTTGTGCCAGTTTTTAAAATATGAGCCATTTTTATTGGTGTGAGGTGGCATCTCTTTGTGGTTTTGATTGGCATTTCCCTGATTATAAGTGATGTTGAACATTTTTTTCATATGGGCCTGTTGGCCATTTGCATTTCTTCTCTAGAGAAGTGTCTTTTTAGCTCTTCTGTCCATTTTTTGACAGGGTGGTTTGCTTTGTTTTTGACTAGCATAAGCTCTTTGTAAATCTTTGATATCAATCCCTTATCAGGTGGATGAAATGTAAAATGTAAATATTTTCTCCCAGTCTGTGAGTTATCTCTCTTTTTTGGTTATCATCTCCTTTGGTGTTCAGAAGCTTTTGAATTTGAGGCTGTCCCAGCTGTTTATCCTCCTCATGTGTTTTTTTTTTTGCTTCTGGGGACGACTCCTTAAAAATGATTCTGAGATGTAACCAGGCATATAATTTTTTAATCATAACACTGTCAGTCTCTGCTAAGTACTGTAGAGAAAGTATAAAGAAGAAAGTAGGTGTAGTGGTGTTGGGGTAGTGAAAATGAGAGTTATCATTAGGTGAAACCTTTGAACAGTAAATAATAGGTAGGTTTTTGACCCCTGGAGGAAGTGGCCAAGTTGTGATAGTATTTGGGTTTGATAGTCTGCCTGCAAATCATACCATTTTTGAAGGAAATTATTGAAAATTATATGAAAAGGTCAGTGGAATGCAGGTTTTACAAAATCTTGACGAACAGACTTGAATGTAAACTGTGGTACTGAGGAGGAGACTCAGGACTCTAGTTATATCAATTGTTGAGCAGTTTGGATTGGAGAAGAGAGAGATTAAATCAATCGATAATAAAAAGCTATTGTAGTTACAAAAGAGATAGTGAGACCTAAACTAGGTTTAGAGTAGTAGAAATGGAAAGAAAGGAAAGGCAATTCATTGATTCACATTATATCTGAGTGCCTACCCAGTGTCAGTGCTGTACTTTCTCATATGGTATGATGATGTGTCCTGGCTTAGAAAAAGGGTGGGGAGAGAAAATGATCCTACCATTGACTATGGTTTGCAGTCGAGATGACTGGAAAAACAGTCTTGCTAGTAATGGAAACAGAGTCATTGGAAAAGTAGAGATGAGCTCAGTTGATTGGAGGGCTGGGAGAATAGATTATGCCAGTAAAATGTATGGTATATTCTATTGTGCTCAACATATGAAAAATGATTAAACCTGGATTCTGCCATAATTAGCTGCATATTGTGATTAGGGCACATATAGTTTCTCTAACACTCTTTATTTTGTCATACAAGTTATAAGGCACTGACTGAATATTCCCTTCCTATTCTAAAATTTTATTCTTTGTCCTTTTCTGTGAAATACTGAGTGTCACACTGGACTAGTGTCAGCACTTTGTTTTGTCAAAAATGTATCAAAACCAGCCCTATATATGTAGCATATTCTTTCCATTTGAATTATACTCAGCTGTTTAAGTAACCTTTATTGTGTATACTTGTCTGGTCCACCCTAGATGTACGTAACAGTTGGAAATTCAGAAAAGCACTTTAATATACATATAAATGGATATATTTTAACTGGCATGTGGGATTTACATGTAATTACAAATTAACAGGTGAATTTTAGCTTGGATCAAAGTGTTAGGTTAAGATAATATTGCATTTTACTTTTTTCTTTGGAAAGCTAAGGATTTATAAACTTTTATGTTTCAGGTTCACTTATGTATTTAAATGAGGCCACTCTCCTCCATAATGTCAAAGTCCGATACAGTAAAGACAGAATTTATGTAAGTATTTTACTGTGCTTTAGGGCTTTGTGGGCTTACATATTGTACATGCTATTGTTAAATTTGTCAATTTTGAAATAGTCCAACAAGAAATCATACTTGTCTGAGCCTGCTGACCAGTGTGTATTCTATAAGGATGAGGATTTTCCCCCCACTAATTTATTGCTGAAAACTCAGGGCATAGTACATAGTAGTTATTTAATAATATTTGTGGAATGAAGTAATAAGTTCAGAGCAACACCTAATATCTTTCAGACTTAAAAATGTTCAATTTGATTATTTTAGGAAAAAAACACTTTTCTATTTTGATTTCATGTTTTTTGGTATATGTTTGTGGATGTTGAATTTTCCCCATTGTTGTATAAAAGTTGAAGGTAGCATTTTTTATATGTGTGTGTATACACATTTATATATAAAGACACATATATAGTTATCTATAAATTAAACTTATTTCAATAAATACATAAATTGAAATTAAATACTTAGATAAAAAATTATAAATTAGTATAGGGTATAGGACTGGAGGAATTATCAAGTACGATAAAGTGCTGCTCTAAACCTAATAGAACCTAAATAGTCACACATTTCAATATACTCTAAATAGATGCCTTACCTTAAAAATCTAGAATATTAAACAATAAAAAAGAATGCTTTTAATATAAACAGTGCTATGCAAGTAATTCAGGTAGACATTCAACTAGTATGTTTAAATGATGATAATTTAGTGGGCATGTGTGAGGTTTTATCTACTATGACCTACTTGTAGATTTCTTTGATGTCTGGAGATAAATTGCCCTACTGTAGTTCTCCCACTATAAAGATGGGACTCTGACTCTTCATTATTTTTGAATAAAGAAGACACATGGTTTCTTTGACACTTCCTAGATCGAATGACAGTTTTAATCTTTTATATCACTATCAATTTGCCTAATTGTACTTATTTATTGCTGACTAAATTAGCTTTAGTCTTTGCCATCTGTCCAAGTAATGACAGCTGGAAAATAGGACTAAGTTAATCTTTTCCAAAAGAGTTTATGTGCCATCTTTTGGTTATTATGTATTCTATTGTCTTTGCTTTTCTTTTAAAAAGTCAACTAAATAAGGAATATATCTAGGTTGAAATATAACTATTCTCACCAGAAATTTTAGAAGTAAAACTCACTTAATGAACATATAATGTATACTAAATGCTGTTAAAATATTGCATGAAAGTATAACACATTTTTTTTTTTTTTAAAGATTTATTTATTTATTCATACAGAACTGGGGTACAGGCCAGAGGCTCAGGGGCGGTGAGAGGCTTCACCAGAGACAGAGTGGGAAACAGAACAGGCAGATCAACAAAGTACACTGCTGAGGGGAGCAGCGGGCGGGTCAGGAGAGGTCTGCCACGCCATGTGGTCACCTCCGGGGCAGGCGGGGATCGAACTCATGCGGAAGCGGCTTTAAATTCTCAGTGCTGTGCTTTAACCCGCTGCGCCACCAGGGAGGGCCAGTATAACACATTTTTAAAGTTTATTTGTTAAATCAAATTCTTTGTACTAATCAATAAATGTTGAATTAGATACCACCAAGACACATTATTTTTCAAGTAGAACTCTAGCTACTGTTTTTTCCTTTTCAAAAAAAATTTTTTTTATTACATAGAAGAACTGGGGCATAGGTAAAGGATGTGGGGTATGAGAGGATTCACCAGAGACATAAGTAGAGAACAGACCATGTGGTTCTACTGAAATACACTGCTAAGGGAGATAGCCAACAAGACAGAAAAGGTCTGCTGTGCCCTCTGTGGGTCAGTTCCCTGGCTGGGGATTGAAATCAGGCCATAGTGTGGTAGTCTGTAGGCTACTAGGGAGACCCCCTATAGGCCCCCTGTTTTCCTTTATTTAATTAAGATTTTATTGCACTAACATTGGTTTATGACATATGTAGGTTTCAGGTGTGCATTCTTAGCCATCAGCATCCATGGGTACACTATATGATGATTATCATCAAAAGTGTAATTTCTGCTGACCCATATTCACAGTTTACTCACTCCACTTCCCACTATCCTTCTGATAACCATTGCTTTGTTTGTTCTTGTACTGCTTCTTTTTCTTTGTGTATCGTCCATCACCTAGTGATGGTGGAACAATCTTATTTTTTGAGCAAATTTTAAATGTCTTAGTATCTCCCAAAATTTGGAAGTTTTTAAATTATATTCACAGAATGATCTTATTTTGAAAAAACTAAGATACTATGTTTTATTTTTATTTGACATGATTATACTTAAAGCCCACAGGATTTTCATTGTTTTTTTAATTCTTCCCTGCTGCAATGCTACTACACTTACTGACTGTCACCATTAATGAGTGATGGTTTACATGAATATTTTTACTTAAAAAAATTTTTTTTTCACATTGGTTTTAATGTTAAAGTCTACAAATCTTTGCTAACTTGCATGATTGTTAGTAAAAATGGTTTATTTGTAAAATTTTCAATTCATTTCTTATGTATAATATGTATATCATTCTGGTGAATTGATTTTGTTTTTTTTTTTTAAACTTCCAGCCATTTTGATTCTTCTTTTCCTAAGATTGATTTTCAGTTGGTCAGATGACCTCTGTTAGTGACTGGCATTGTCAGCTTCTATTTGGAGAAACAATTCTTTCAATGTTAACTTAAGCCATAATTGGTACATGTTTTTAGCAGTCATACTTTGAATAGCCATTACAAAAGCAGCAATATATACTTATACTCAATATTATATTATGTATAAGAGTCAGAAGTAATTTGGAGTCAGAGTTTAATGTTTTTATATTTCTCACCAAACTTAGTTGTCACTATTTTCCCCCAGAATAACTAACTCATGTTTAACATTTGCATTGTTTGCTAAAGTCTTTGCTACTTGACTTCTGCTTTTCCTGTTATAATGATCACTATCTGAAATCATTAATTTTTTTACCTCATTCATTCCAGAAAACATTTTTGGGAGTATTTTCTGAATTTTGGGATTAGCAGAGTGAGAATTTAAAGTTTCTGCATAATTTCCCTTCCATAGCTAGAAGCAGAAAAAGACAAATATGGTCCGGCATGGCCTGGTTTGAACAGCAGACGACAACGAATTGCTTAACCACAGATCTCTGTCCACAAAGAATTTTATAAATCCCACTGGTGCATTTTTTCTGGTCTTTTGAAGTGACATTTACATTCCATATATAAAGCAATCTTTAGTTGGTCACTAAATATTTTGCCATCTATATTCTAGGCAGTGTTTACCATATGTTTTGCAAAAATCTGGGGCCAAGTGGTGCCACAGAGCTAATGAACTCTTGGCCTACAGTGATGGTGATAGGTACTCTTTAGTAGCAGCATGAATAAAGTGGTCTAGATGAAGAATACAGATGACGAAAAACTTGGGTTACGGGAATAGAATGAGAGTGATTTCACAAGTGGAGTCATCAGAAGAAAGGTAATTGTGATAAAAGTTGACTCAGCTTTCTTTTTGTGATGACTTGGTGGTGATACTGTAAACCTAGGAAAACAGGGAAGAAAAATGTTTTCTGTGAGGCAAAATGGGGTCAAGAGAGATTATTTTGATTTAGACATGCTGAATATGAGATGCCTATGAGATGTAAATATTTCTTGAGTTAGAGAAATATGGATACCATAACGATCTGAGAAAATTTAGATCTGGGAGTCCTAGTTATTTAGCAAATTGAAGATTTTGCTTTATATTCTTTCTCCCATGAGCCTTTCTTGGTTTTAAAATGTAAATAGTAATTGGGAATTTTTATGTTCATGCTTTTGATTTAGACATATGTCGCCAACATTCTGATCGCAGTAAACCCTTACTTTGACATACCTAAAATATATTCTTCAGAAACAATAAAATCATACCAAGGAAAATCTCTTGGGACAATGCCACCTCATGTCTTTGCAATTGGTAAGTAATTTAATTTGTATCTTAAATTTTGTTTTTCATTATATTTCAAAATTTCCCCAGAAACATTTTGGGTTAATAAAAAATATCATGAATTTGATGTTTTGGAAAGCCTCTATGATTTGAGTGTATCACCACATTAGACACCTGTATCCTCCGCCATATATGGGGGAATACTTTTGCAACCAATGCTTTTACGTTATTATTTTTGTCAGATGACCTCTGGCCTTTCAAATTTTGCCACTTCAGTGAAGTAAGTCAAAAGCTGACATAATGGTTATTTTTGACTCTTCAACATAAATAGCTCTAGCCTACAGTTGTCTTCCTTCATAACTTTGAGGCCCTATCCTACTGCAGTTACCCAGATTATCATTTATGAATGTGTTACTTGAGCTAGATGTGAGCTATGAGTGCAGACTTCCATGATGTCTTATTTTGCATTAGGATTTTGTAATTAACATATGTCCAACAATTGAAGATGTTATATACTTCATATCTCTGGGGAATTTGTGTGGGAGATAGCAGAATCTGTCTTTGCCTTTCTCAGGTTCTAAGAATAGGTGACATGGAGTTATTTGACTTGCCCACTTGCCACAGCACCAGCTCTTAAATTAGTCAACCATTGTACCCTGACATAACCAGCAGTGAGAGGATGACCTTTGTTATTGGTACTAGTTCTTAGTGTAGTTTATTTCTTTTCATGGCTGTGTGTCTGATTAACCAAGCTTCACATTCACATTTCCTTCATCTTTGTACTGTATACTACTAAGCAGAATAAATATGTCAGGCAAGCCCAGTACAATAGCAGATTGACTGGTCTCAGAAGCACTGAAGGCATTGCTATGCTTTCTGTCGGCAAACAAAATATTATAGTACAGAATCTTTTGAACGTGAATGTGAACAAGGCCATCAGTAGATGAAGCTGCATGTTTAAAATGTAAATAAACTCGGTTGTTTGCAGTGATTTATCAAAAGTGAGTAGGACAGATTACTGATTAATTAGTCAAGAAAGAATAGATACATGTTTTGTCTTTGGAGCTTAGAGTAAAAAGTCATGTGTACAGACTTTTTCATTGGTATGGCTAGCACATATTAATGTGAGAAATAGTTGCTTTCTAGGAGTAAATTGATCAGATCCTAATTTTGAGTTAACAATTACTTCAAGATCACCCACACAGAATTAAATTATATTCAACTTTTCTGTGTAATTTTAAAACTGAAGGCATTTGTTTGAATGTAATATAGTAAAAATTATATTCACAATTACAAATTTTGAAAATTAATTTTGCCTATCATTGAAATGCTTACAAATCCTATGTAAATTTAATAATAATATAACCGAAAAAATACACAGATTTCTCTTGCAATTATGTATTTTTCTCTCCAGTGGAATTTTTGGTTGCCAGATTTCTTACTTGGAAGCTCATTACTTCTGTTTTTCTCTGGGGACTTCATTAACTATGCATGATGAACATTTTTTTATCCCTCTGCAGACCTGCTCTGGTATTAAGAGCTGAGCCATAGCTCATAGTATGAAAACTAACAAAAGGATTGTTTATTTGGATTTCAAATTACTTAGCTGTCAGGTCATTAAGAAGACCAATTATAGTAAATGCATTTAGTAAATGCACATACACTATTGAATGACTTTATTTAAAAATTTTGCTAACTATAAATATGCATTTGTATTTTCTGTAAGTACTCTTTGATAGTAAATGAATTACCATTTACTCAATATACTTTATTGTTCATTATTAATATATTATTTTGACCCTAGCTGATAAGGCTTTTCGAGATATGAAGGTGCTCAAGATGAGTCAGTCTATCATTGTATCTGGAGAATCAGGAGCTGGCAAAACAGAAAATACAAAATTTGTTCTAAGGTGAGGAATATTGAGCTAACCTGGAATAATTTGAACAGGTTGAGTTTTTTTCTTTTAATTGTGATAAAAATTGTAACTTAAAAATTATTATATTCACTCTTTCTCATCAGTAATGTTAAGTGTGTTTGCATAGTTATGCAGCCAGTTTCTAGGATTTTCCAGCTTGCAAAACCGAACATTGTTCCTTCCCACTAAGCAGCTCCTCATTTCTCTTTGATCCTAGCTCTTGGCAACTGCTACTCTACTTTCTGCTTCTGTGGTTTTAAACAGCTCTCGATATCCCATACCAGTGCATCCTACAGTGTTTGTCTTTCTGTGACTTTTATTTCACTTAGCATAACATCCTCAGGTTTCATTCTTACAGCATAGTGTGAGAATTCCCTTCCTTTTTTTTTTTTTTGTCCCAGAAGACAGATTTAATTTATTTAAAACAACCATGAAATTTACTGTGAAAAAAATTTTTTTACTGTGAGGGATCAGAGAATCCATCAGTACAGGTAATGAGATTATTCTGAGATGAACCTGGACTTCAGTGAAAACAACTTTCTAAAAATAAAAACAACATAAAACCTTGAGAATTCCCTTCTTCTTTAAGGCTGAATAATTTTATTTTATGTGTGTGTGTGTGTGTGTACAAACATATATATGTATACGTGTGGTATACTTTGTTCATTCATTCATCATTGAGGGGGCTATTTCCACTCTTTTTACATTAACTTGAGAGGATGGCCTCTATCCCTTTGCAGATACACACCTCATATCGAAACAGCTAAACCACAGAGTATTGACAGCCTGCTCTGATGTGTTGTTTTCATTAGGGCGCTAGAGCAGACCTATTTTGGTCAGGCAAAGGAAACTATGATGATTCATTCAAAATTCATCCTTACAATTCTGTTCTCAGTATTTTTCTCAGACTGTGGTTGAAACCTTTTATTTTAACTTTAGCTTATAATAGTTGACCTTTCCATCTTCTTACAACCCTGCTCTCAGTATATCCACTTTGCTTCTATCATATTAAACTACATTTTGTTTAGAATTATAGCATCTTAAAATACAACAGAGCCATAGTTTTCAGTGTAGTTCAGTTTCCTCAATTTATATTCTTATTGATATCCCTCTAGTAATGAAGCTATGCTACCACAAGTTGCCTTCTGAATTTTCATACATGTTCTCACTGTCTTAAGTAGCTGGTCGATTTTTGCATGGCACACCCTTTTTGAAAAAATTTACAATTGTTAAGCAATTGTATGTGCTATTCAGAGTTGTATAAAATCTATGTAAGTGTTTTTTATTCACTGTTAGGTATATACAATTCTGGTTAAACTAATGCTTCCAAATCATCTTGGAATTCTAGTGTTTAATTTCCTTATTCTTCCTCTTCTGTATAGAATAGTAAACATACAATTTTGAGAGTAAACAAAAAATTAACAAATTATGAGCTTATGATGTAAACATAGATTGTAAATCAAAGATTACTTTTTGTTTTGAAATGTGCTGAGCAAATAGTTGTGCCATCATGTTTTATGTTTAACTGTAACAACATTAAGAGTGGTGACTTCTGCTTTTCAGTGGTGGATCACCTTATTTCTTTCACACCTAGCAAAGCTGGACTTACTAGGTCACTACAGAAGATTGGAGTCTAATGTAGATGATGAATAGTCCTGTGAGAAATGCATGGTGTATTTAAAATCAAATTGTTGGTTAAATTCAGAATATTCTCCAAAACACTTTTAAAAGTGATGCTGGTTTACATTTGGATCGCTAAAGGCAATCCAAGTAAAATTTTAAATGTTTAAAAATATATAACTCGGTAGTTGCCTTTAAAGATAAATTTGTAATTTTAAGTAAAAAGTTATGACAGTGATCCTTTTTTACTTGTGTGAAAGTTGTAGTAACATTATAAATATGTGGGCAATGTTTTGTAAATATTTTTCCTATTTTAAACAGATATCTTACTGAATCCTATGGAACAGGACAAGATATTGATGACAGAATTGTTGAAGGTATTGTTCATTTCGAGTGGGACACAGTGGTAGGGGACCAGTGTGATATGGTGCAGGACTGTGGAAGTTTTGGTAGTTGATGTGGTAACACACATCTAAAAAGGTGTGAATCTGTAACTCTGAAACGATATGCAGTGTTGTAAACTAACCTTACCTCAATTAAAAAATAAGGTTTCTTATTTCCTTAAAGTTAGGAATATTCTCTCAGTTGTCTGTAATATTCTCCCAAAGATCCCAAAGATACTTATCTCCTACAAATTATTGCTCAAATATGATCTTCTCCTTTATTTAATTTTTGTTCTTTCCTTCCTCACCCATGTAAGTGCTAAGAGGACAAGATATTTTATATATTCCAAACCCCATCACATAAATTCCAAAAATATCTATCATATGAGTGAAAGAAATACAGGAAGTTTTCTGGTCTTCTGTTTGTTATGTTTTTATCATTTTATAAAAAAGCAGAGAGGGAGAGGGTTATTTGGAAATGAGTTGTGTCAGGAGAAATCATTTTCAAATGAGTATTCTTTGAAGGAAGAATCTTCAAAAAAAATTTAAAAAGAAATATATTGTTGAAGGAACATTGAGTGTAGTATTATATTCATTTCAGGCATACATTAGTGATCAACATCTGTTTATAATACATCATATTCACCAGTAAGCCTATTCCCATAATTCAACGTACAATTGGCCCCTTTTTAACCCACCTTCCTCCCCCATTCCTCTCTGGTAAAACACTAGTTTGCTCTTTTTTTTTTGTAAATTGATTTCTTTTAGCTATCAATATTTGCATTCCCCTTGGAAAGTCTTGTAGGAGCTCAGTTTGGAGATTACTCTACTTCTGTTATGTTGACTCTCTCCTCCTGTATCTAATTTCTTTTCTGGTATTTCCTTTTATATTCTTGCTTCCACTGTAGCCATTCTTTGTATAGAAGTTGGGATGATATCTTGTTTTAAAACTGTTAATGTCTTCATATAGTGGTCAAAGTAAAACCCCAGATCTTAGCATTCCCTGCAGTGATCTGTGTGGTCTGACCTCTGCCACTTCTTGGCTGATTTTGAGTTGTTTCCATTGATTCTGTGGGTCTTAGTCATGTTCGTTTTATAGTTCTTTTGAGGTGTTTTAGGCTTCTGTTGGCATTCTCCTTCTCCCTTTGTCACTTTCCCGACTAAACAGGCAGTAAATACTTTAATAATGATGAAGTTATAGTCATATGTGAGGTGAGTTACACTTTGTGATTTGCTTGAAGTCTGTTTTCTAATGTTAATCTTCATGAATAAGGGTAGATACTATTTTATCCCTACTTGACAGATGAAAAACTGATGTAAAAAGTTTAATAAATAGGTAACAGATTGCCTCTCACTTTCTGACTTACTTAATTTCTCATAATAACCTCAAGAGCCATCCATTTTGTCCCAAAAGGCAATATATTATCTTTTAAAATAGTTACATAATATTCAAATGAGTATTTATTTCAGAATTTCCTGAGTGCATATTTTAATCTTGGGCATTTTAAAGAAAATTTTTAGATGAACAAAAATTAATTGAAGCCTTTTGTGTTCGTGCATTTTGTTAGATCATAGCTAGTATGCTTATGTATGTTTATGCATGTTTTCAGTTACATATAAAATAATGTATGTAGATGAATCTACAGTACAACTGTAGTAAATATTTTTAAGTTTTTTTATTGCTACAGTTTTTCATATTACTTGATATAGATAATTTTGTAGATTTACTTACAGTTCTCACTGTGATCTTGTCACATACTCAGTCATGAAGTGCTCATAAAAATTGTATTCACAGTAGTGTCTTTATTGATGCACTCACCTTTAAAATTGAATAAATTCTTTTTAAAAAATTGAATTCATTAATAAAGTATGGGTTAAATTAATAAAGGACTAATTTGTTATTTCTGATTTGTTCACTTTCTGAAGTTCACACTCAGTGATTGGATATTATATTAACCGGTTTCTACCATGAGAATGAGTACTGTGCAATATATAGTGTGTTACACTTGAGAAAAGTTGGAAGTACAATTCCACATGTTTTTTCAGCTTTTTACTGGAGAAGAGTAGATGTTAACTAGCCAGACATAAAAATCTTTCGATGGGCTTCTTAGTGGAATATTGGTTGTTGGGAATAAGATCATTAATAATATGCTTTTTTTGATATAAAGACTTTCATACTTGTTGGCATATATCACCTAGTATATTAAATTCTTCAACAAAACCAGTAGATCATCAGTAAAAATGTAGGGGGACCTATTATTGAGAAACTGATGAAATTAAGCAACATGCTCTGTCTGTTATTTTAAAATTTTGCTTCATGCTGATTTTTTTGTGCAATATTTTCATTTCTCAACAGCTAACCCACTCTTAGAGGCCTTTGGAAATGCAAAGACTGTTCGAAACAATAATAGCAGTCGATTTGGAAAATTTGTAGAAATACATTTCAATGAAAAGGTGAGAGAGTTTTAGGGTGATACTTTTGGGAGAATATCTCAAAAGAACACAGGTCTTGATAGAATTAGTATTGTGTTTTAACTTGTAAGTCTTAATTTTCTCTCTTACTTTGGATAGTTGTAGAAATCTATATACATTCCTCTTTGATCTCTATAAATACTCTTGTTTACATTATTTATATTTACTTATGTTTCTTTTTATTTGATGAATATTGTAGCTCTATGATAGATGATTATTATTAAAATGCTAAGAATTTAGCATTTTAGATTATACTTTTAATATTTTCTCTCTGTTTTGTTTTTCAGAGTTCAGTCGTTGGAGGATTTGTTTCCCATTATCTTCTAGAGAAGTCTAGGATTTGTGTTCAAGGAAAAGAGGAAAGGAATTATCATATTTTTTACAGGTTGTGTGCTGGTGCTTCTGAAGATATTAGGGAAAAACTTCATTTGAGCTCCCCAGATAATTTTCGGGTAGGTTGGAGAGAAAGAAGTTTCACACAATTTTTACAAATGGAATTGCTTTACATTTTAAATCTAGTTTCAGTGGATTTTGATACTTAGTTGTATGCAGCTTATCTTAACTTGTATTGAAGTTTATTGCTTAGCTATTATGTTACTATGAGGAGGTACATACAGGATAGGTAAAAGAATAGATGTTAAATTCCTTATCAATTTAAACTCAATAAATTTATAATAGTTATGTGATACTAGCTTTAAAGTTATCGTTAGTTGTAAAAAATAGTTTGACTACTGAATTAATGAAGGGCGCATGACTCTCTTCCTTAAATCTGTCCAACAGCAAATACTTGATGCTTGCCTGTTGGGTGCCTAGCATTTGCCAAGGTTAAAAAGATTACTACATCTAACTGGTAAATGATAGGAGAGAGATAGGCATAAGGTACCCGGGCAGGCAGGGGACTTAAGGAAAGATTATTGGAACACTTGATGCTTGATTAAAATCCTTGAAGAATTTAAAGTGTTGAGAAAGAAATGCAAAGATGGTTTCCCATATTATCCAAAAGTAGGGTATTCGTATTTGGTAGGTTATTTTTTGGGTCTGTTAATGCTATTACCATTAATTTATATGGATTTTTTTAGAGTGTTCACAGTCCTCAAAATAACCTACCAAATTATATGAAGAAAAAATAGTCTACATTCAGGTAGTGAGGAAACCTGTATCCCTGATAAATATAAAAAATGGACAAAGGCAAGAAACAGCTTAAAGGATTAGTTAGTAAATAGTGAGAAGTGCAGTTATAGAGTGTGGTCTTCTGTAGTAGGGAACTTCTTAAGGGCTTTAAGTAGACAGTGGGCCTGTAATAGTCTGGTTTTATTTATATTTAAAGAGTAAGTTCTTTAGAAAGAGACAGGAGAGGGTAAGGCACTTAGATAAGTGCAAGTGAGCAGAAGAGCTGCCCTGAAAGGGACGGCTTTGCAGGGAAAGAGACCTGCATGGTTGCAGCCAGGCGGTCCTAGGAGAGCGGCTTCCCCTGAGGGAGGTGAGAGCAGAGAATTCCCAGCGTGGTCCAGGACATGGCAGGCAGGAGGTTGCTGCTCTGCAGAGGGAGAGTGGGTGGGAAGAAGCACTTGCACAGGCACAGGTTGGCAGAGGAGTGGCTGCCATAGTCTGTGTTTTTTTTTTCTTTCATAGTATAAATGTGTTTAATGATCGAAATTGCAAAAGTGTAAAATAGCTGACAATATAAAGTAATTTACTTTTTCTCCATAAGTAAATAGCATAGTCTGGTTTTAATATGGAAGATAACTTTGTAGGTTATGGGTGGATAGAAATTGAAATTGTAGGTAGATTGGTTAGAAATCTATAGCTATAGTTGAAGTAACAGCACCTATTTATTGAATTTGGTTTAGCCTGAGTTGTACATAATATGGGATGTGTGATCAATCAGGAGGTAAAACTGATAGTACTTGGAGAGAGGAGAAGGAATATGGAATAATTTTCTTTCCCAAATTTGACTTGGGTAATTGTGTGGATGTAGATAACATTATTGAGGCCAGATGGAATTTCGGGATTAGAAGATGAGTTAGTTTGGGACCTTTGGGTCATCTAAGTAGAAAAGTTAGGAGAAGGCTGTAAATACTAATCTAAAGATCAGTGCCAGAGCTAGAGAATTGTGGGAGATATCAGTACTTGGGTGGTAGTTAAAACTGTAACTGTGATTAAATGAGTTTCTCTAGGGTGTTTGCATAACATAGAGAAGCATGTACGGAATCCAGATGTTGGAGTTGAAGGGAATGAGCAGAGGAAGAGTTGTCCGAGAAAAACAGAAAGTTGGGTAAGAAAAGTACAAGGAAAATAAGGAGCACTAAGAATCACAAGCCAATAAAGTTTGCAGATAGTGACTGGAGAGGGGTAGTATAATTTACAAATTTGCAGCCAGGAGATTATGTTTCTGTGAGATATGTAGTTATCAGAGGAAAGAGTAAGTTCTTTGAATTGTTTTGGTAGTCATCTCTGGACGGGATGGCCCCACTTGAGAGTCATGCATGTGAACTAATCTTCAGTGTGTGTATTTTTGCAGTTTAGCTGCTTTTTACTGAAGCAATATCTTTTTTTTTTTGAAGTGGCATTTTTTAATTTATATTCAGAAACCTTAAAACTTCATTTTAAGATGCTTAATAACTGCAGCTGTTTGGTTATTTTGAAAATGTCCAAACTTATATAGGACTGGCAAATTAATTGTAATTTGCCTTAGTTGCCCTCATTATCCTTATGAAAGAAGAGGTATTTCTCTAAATGGTATTAAGAAAAAGAATGGAAATTATTGTGAATAATATAAAACTTGGTATTGATGTGACTTTTCAATACTGAGTTGATGACGGTAAGATGATGTAAATACTTTTGTCTTAATTTAGCATTTCTTTCCGCGTGGGACCAGGACCATAATTTTTGTGTCTCTCATGGAATAGGCTTCCCAGGCATATTGGCAGGCACCTTAAGAAGACAGCTACTTAAACTCCTTATCAGTTTAGAGAGTTTCCTGCTTTTGTATTGTGAACTGAAATGCTTGTTTTTTTCTTTCACAAGAGATTCTTTTTGATGGTGAGAGAAGAGTAGGGAAACAGCATTACCTTTCACCCACAGGCAACTGGCGTTTTGGCTGTTCCTCTCAGATATGCATGCACACATCCCTAGATCCCTTCAGCCAAATGACTCTGCCTTAAAATAAAAGTGTATTGTATTTGTTATTTCATTAGAGTGTGCTCTAGTTTAAACATCCACTTTTAACTTGTAGGTAAGGATAAACCAAAGGACAATCTTACCCTAGGAAAAACAACTTCCTCAAATTTTTTGGCCAGTGCTTTATCCAAATTAGTATGTAAAGAATCACAGAGTTATACCCATGTAACAGCATTTGTATTAACTATGTATTTTAGAAAATAAAAGTTGTAAGATGGTTGCATTTTTCAAAATTGTCTAAAATTTTTTTGCATGTTATATGGAAGTATTTGTTATAATCATGCAAAGAGCCTCATATAAACTTGGATAGAAAGAAATGAATGGCAAGAAGAATTGTAGCATTCTAGTTATGGAAAAATTGGAAGAAAAAATTCTTTCCTGGGTTTAATATAGGTCTAAAAGCCAAATACTTAACAAAACAGTTGGGGAGGTAAGAGTTAGGATAAAGCAAAGACAATATTTGGGTCTATGTGTTTAGACTATAATCTTACTAAACAAAAGAGCTCTTTTTTGAATTAGTTTAAAATGCTTACCAGTGTGTTACTTCCCCTTCTCTTTTATTTTTTCCCCAAAGAATGTAGGGTAAAAGAAAATCTACTGCATTTAATTTTCTGGTTCTAACTTTATTTTACTTTGTCATTATAATAGAGGGGGAAGGATAGAAGCATTGATCATCTAAAATGTTATCTCCAAATCATTTATAATTTACTATAATTTTTCTTGGTACCTTTATGATGTGGTAGTGCGTTCTGACTTAGAATTCATGCCAAGATAAAGTGAAATCATAGAGCAGTTGGGATGTTTTTAAAATTTTCCTATCTTGTTCCACACATACTTCCTTCCTTATCCCTCCCTCTCCCCCCATGTGGATAACTGAGTCTCTGAGGCCCATGCTTTATTTTTTTCTCAAGTGTTTCCCCTGCTCTCTGATGAAAATTATTCATCTTTAAAAGACTCCTGGGTAGCAATATAAATAACTGGAGATAAAAGTTGAAGTTGTGATTTGAATAATGATGGTTAATAAACCAAATATTGTAATTTATATATAGTCAATATTGTCAATAAATACATTTTGAAGAACTGATTCTCAAAGCCATACATGAAGCAACTCAAAGATAATATTTGTTAATTATTAAGCCACAATGTGAGTATATATTTTATAGTATAATCGTTATTACCTGTAGTACTTATAAACTTTATTTTAAATAAGATATTTGACAGTGAAAAGATTAAAAGCTTTAAGCACAGGAAAACCTTATGGTATTTGGTTTTTATATTAATTATTTGACTTATCCTGCTTTCAAAAATTAGGACTTTTAAGACCCCTGGTTTTATTAGTAGGACATATGAAATAAAGAAATAGCCACAAGAAACAGTTTTAACTATGCATGGTAAGGGATGTTAATTAGAATTATTAAGCAGTGTATATTGAATCATTGGGTGTATGCCTGAAACTAATATGATGTTAAATGCCAGTTATATAGCTCAGTAAAAATTAACAACAAAACAAGGGAAATAAAAAAATCTTTTAAGAAAAAGTAACAGTTTTCAATTGAGAAATTAAATTATACCACGGTTATATTTAGAAAATATTTATGATTAGCAATATCTGATAAGTTGTGTTTTCTCCTGTATTATTTTCTTATGAATCATTTATTAATTATATTTAATTTTTTTAATCATAGTACTTAAACCGAGGCTGCACTAGGTACTTTGCTAACAAAGAAACCGACAAACAGATTTTACAGAACCGAAAAAGTCCTGAGGTATAGTAGACTTTTTTGACTTTTTTATTTAATTAAAACTTTAAATAAAAAAAAATATGCTCAAGGAGATATTATGTTTTTTATTTTGGAACCCAAATAATTTTTCCTATTTTTAGGACTGTACTTAAAAAACAAAATGCTGCAAATCCACACCTTTCTCACAGTGAAATGCTTTATGCCTCTGTTGGTATCTGCCAAAGTCACAAGTTCTGTTTCTTCTTGGCTAGTTTCAATGTCCTGCTCTTTTCTCATTTTTCTCAGCATGACAGCATTAAATTGTGCGAGAATTATTTATTGTTAACCTTTTTGAAATTTACTGTCATAATAACCACTTGGTATTTAGTATAAAATAGATCTTTTATAATCTGTAATTTATTGTCCACTGGATTGGGACAAGAAATAGAGTAAGCATTATTATGCAAATAGTGCTTATATAGTGTTGTATTTCTCTTTAAAACATTATTGAAATATTATGAAAGTGTATATATAGATCTTTTTAATTAAATTGTTGTATTTCTAGGACTAATTAGATATGATTGTACTATTTAGTATTATTTTCAAAACATTAAGTTCCTATGTTTTTGAGTGCTAATTAATTTTATTTATTCAGGGAACTTAAATAATGACCTAAATTAGAATTAAGTATTAATACTAGTTTATATTATCTTTTTAAAATACTTAAGTATATTTTTAGTATACTCAAGTTTTAACACTACTGCATTTGTGAGTTGGATTTTTATGACATTTTCAATATGGGTGAGATAAATTGTTTTTTATATGTTCATAGAAAACAACAAGAATTAAGTAAAAATTCTCATTTTGAATCCTAAGCAGATGAACCTACAGTTATTTTTTTTTAGGTTAACATTTTATCTGTCATTTTATACACAGATGTCTGAATTAGAAACCATAAACTTTATGCCACAGCCATAGTTGGAACAATAAGATGTGACAAAATTTATTATGATATGTTCCTTTGTCACCTTATGTTTTTTATAAGCATCATTAAAATATAGAGATTGTATCACTTTCACTAAGCTAATAGAGACATTTCTTACGTGGGCTTTGCAGTTCCTCTGAAGAAAAAAAATACATAGGGCCTTTAGGCCTGGGAAAACTGAGCAGAGAGGAAAGAAACTGGATTTTACTCTTCAAAAGGGGGAACATGTACTTTGTACTCTCCTGAGGAGGAAAAAAAATGTACTGCTTTTGATTCTAGAGTCTGCATAATTTGTCAGGAATCTTATTTATATTATGGATTATATGTATTATATACATGTACATATATGTGAACAATGGATTCATTAATATGTTTAAATTACTTTTTATGTTGTCTTTACCAGGAGGATAAGGTGACCATTTTGACTAATTAGATCCTTTTGAATGTCTTTAAGCTATGTGTAATTTTTAAGACAATGTAGTATTTTTAGTCTGTCATTTGATTAGACAATTTTTAAATGCAGTAACTACAATACAAGACTAAAAATTCTACATGGTAGATGTTTTCTGTTAGTTTTGGCTGCATGTAATTGTTTACTTTGCTTTTTTTTGTTAAGAATAAAAGTAAATTTCTTTAGAGATTTTCCAGAAATTCCACTCAGGCATAATTAAACATTTTAAAGAGTTTTGTAGAAAGGTAATCACAACTTTAGCTGCAAAGCCAAATTGACAATTGGAGGAAAAATGTCTCTTTGAGTCATCCTTCATGGCCAATTATTTTGATACTCTGTTACCTAATGTTTAATTTTGCTAATTCAGTCTCAAATTCTGGAAAATTCCTAGCCCAATCTCCATGCCCAGAAACTTTTATTTTTTCTCCTTCTGGTTTCTTTAGGCCTGAGTTGCTTCAATTTTAATGAGCTTGTTGTAGTTTTAAGAAATGATTGCTTTAGATGCAAGTTCTTTTAGGGAAGAAAGTGATTTTTCTCTTTATTTTTTTCTGAAGTGTTTTCAGTCATTGCATAAATTCTTGAACTAAGCATAGTGCTTAGTAACATACCATATATACAGTTACACAGAAAGATTTAAAAAATAACTCTTAGAAAAACATTTATTAGCCTTTCTACTATTTACTGCTGCTGAATATTGGTGCATTAATAGGTACGTTGTAACTAAAGAATAATGCTCAATCATCACTTAAAATTTATAATAGATTCATATTTAGATGAAGGAAATATTGCAGATAGATCCTGTGTACATTTTGTCCATATATTCAGTTTTTGAATGTGTGAGAATACTAAAAATTTTCTGTTGACACAGTTTTATTTTTGCATGTTATATAGTGCATTAGTAGACCTTCTATGGTTGTTTTAATATACTAAATGTAAAGGCCATTTAATTGACTTGTTTTTATTTTGTAGTATCTTAAGGCAGGTTCTTTGAAAGATCCACTGTTAGATGACCATGGAGATTTCATTAGAATGTGCACAGCCATGAAAAAGATTGGTTTGGATGATGCGGAAAAGCTTGATCTGTTCCGAGTAGTAGCTGGTGTCTTGCACCTTGGAAATATTGATTTTGAGGAAGCTGGCAACACTTCAGGTTTCTTTGTTTTTGTTTTGCTTTAAAGAAGAGTGAAATTGGAAATTATTTCATTTCCTTGTTACATATAAATTGAATCTGCTTATTTATAATTTGGTCAATACCCTGAAGTTTCTAGAATATCCTGTATTATGGTGAATCTTACTGTCAGTAATCATCATGAGTCCGGTTTTAAACAAATAAGTGATACTGGTGGGGAGTAAATTTTTAAGTATCTTATGGTGAATACATAGCTGTAACTACCACTATAGTTACAGTTAAATTTTCCAACTAACACTAGACTTTACCAATAAGTGAGCAAAATAATTGTCTACCACATATATTTTTTAAAGATTTATTTATTTATGCATACAGAACTGGGGTGCAGGCCAGGGGTACAGGCCAGAGTTGCAGGGACAGTGAGAGGATTCACCAGAGACAGAGTGGGGAACAGAACAGGCAGATCGACAAAATACACTGCTGAGGGGAGCAGCGGGCGGGTCAGGAGAAGTCTGCTGTGCCATGTGGTTCACCTCTAGGGGTGGGGATCGAACTCACACTGAAGCTGCTGTAGCTTGCTTACAGTGCTGCATTTTAACTTGTAGCGCCACAGAGATGGCCCATCTGCTATCTATTAAGGCATTTTGCCATTTTCTTCTGACTCATTGACTAAGCTGGATTGTTAATTAGGACAATTGAGTACATAAAAGTATATATACTTTACTAATGGGAAATGAAAATTAATTCAACTTTAAGCAAATTAAAGAGCATTTAAATGTCTGAATGATAGCTCCAAGTTATAAGTGTTTAGAGTTAAGTTCTCTCTGCAATTTCAAGTGTCTCTATGTAAAAAAAATTTATATAATCTTAAATTTGATTTATCAATACATGGGTTGCCAAACTGTGGCATATGGTCAAATCTCAATAACTGATTGCTTTTTGTAGAAAATGTTATTGGAACATATTCACACCTATTCATTTATGTTTGTGTAATGCTGGCTTTCATGATACAGTGATAGAGGTGAAAGGTGGTAATAGAAACTGCAGCTAGCAAAGGCTAAAGTCTGATTATTCTGAGAAAAAGATAGCAGCATTAATATATTATTTTAAAATTTTATACCCAGAAATGAGCTGAAAAAAATCAAAGGAATTATTGTGAGGACTATGGGTATCTTAGTGGTAGATGTGGTGTAGTAACATACATCTGAAAAGGTGCAAACTTATACCTCTGAATCATATTTGATCTTGTGTAGCCATGCTATTTCAATATAAAATATACAATAAAGAATATCCAAAAGCACAATTTAATGTAATAGTCAATAATTTGGACTTTAGATATCAGACACTCCTGAGCCTTGTTCTTTTTATTCATAAAATAGTGATGAAATAGTCCATGAGAAACACAATCACTAGCTATAAATGCATATGATGAAAGGGTTTAAGAGGAAGGAAAAACATTTAAAAAATACATTTACATGTGCATGACCCTTCATATACTGTATTTCATCATAAACATTGTAATTTAAACTTCATAAAGATAATGAGGTAGAGGATATTATTTCCATTTTATGGTAGTGTAGCCTGTGTAGAGGTAAATAATATAAGGAGACTGTAGATGTAAGAGCTGGGTGTCATATTCATTCCTCCTTGCTCCCAGTAGCTGAACCTTTCAAGGAATCCTGATCTGTGAATGAGCAGATTGAAATAGTCCTAATGACTTTCACATTCACTGTCCTGTAATGCTGATGGTTCAGTAACAGCAGATAAACCATAGTGTAATGTTTAAGGGGATATATGCTTTTGAGCCAGACTGCTTCTCTGTGTATACTTCCTGCTTATATGACTATGGACCAGGAACTTAATTTGACCTTTCCATGCCAGAGTTTCTGTAACAGTCCTGACTTTGTGGAGGTAGTACATAAAACCCCTCACACATGTACACACACATGTGCAAGAGCCAGAGCAGAAGAGAGAGAGAGGAAATATCCATGTATTTCACAAGACTGTCTTAAATCATTTGAACTAAAATTACTCCGGAATCTGCAATTTTAACAAGGCACCATATTTCTCCAAAGGTAGAGAGTATTAATAAGGATTATAATTCAATACCAGTATATTTTACTTGCAGGAGCATAGAAAAGTGAAAACAGTTAACAGATTACTATTGATAGACTGGAAAGATTATATCATGAACTGCCTTGAATGAGAGTCTGCCTTTTACCTTGGCAGTGTGAGTGTCTAATAATGATGGCAAATCTAAAGTTAAAAATAAGCCTATCTATTCCATGCTTTTATATAAGTGAGAGGTACTTCTAGGAAATAGGGCTTGAAAATCTGGCTTAATAATGAGTCTCAAATTAAAATATATTTTCATTAGGCGGCTGTAATCTGAAGAATAAATCTACTCAGTCACTGGAATATTGTGCTGAATTACTGGGTTTGGATCAAGATGATCTTCGTGTAAGTTTAACTACAAGAGTCATGCTAACAACAGCAGGGGGCACCAAAGGAACAGTTATAAAGTAAGTTCCTTAACTCATTGTTCTGGAAAAATCCTGTCTGTAGTTTGTCCAGATATTTTCTGAGAATACTAAGATTTAAATGCATGATTTACTGCATGATTCTTTCTTTTCATTCTAATGTTCTTGAGAGATTCAAATTCTGTCCTTTATTATCTACCATATAATTAAACCCTGACTTCCATAGCTGTCAAAGCTGTTCCTTGCAGACATGGTACATGAAACAAATTTGAAATCTGTACATTAAGAGAGAAGCTTGCTTTTATACAACTATGAAAAGACAAGGAGATTATGTTAATATTTGTCTTTAGGCAACAAGTTTTTTCAATGTTTCAGAATTGTACTTTTTTGAGAATAATTTTAATAATGAGATGTAATTCACATGAGTCATTATTTTTAGAATGATCAGTAGATTTTTTTTTTTGAGCCCAAGTAATTTACTCAATAATAGATTTTTTTTATCTAATTGCAGGTAATTCTCTTAGTTCTTATAGTATTCTACTTAACCCTTTATGTATCTATTCACAATTGACTTTTTGTAACTGTTTGTTTTTTTTCTTCATATTGAATATATTTATATGTACTTTGCCCTTGGGTAACTAGCCTACACTCATAAAATATTACTGTAAGAATTTTGATTGGTATACTTCTTTTACAGGGTGCCACTGAAAGTGGAGCAAGCAAACAATGCTCGTGATGCCTTGGCAAAGACTGTCTATAGCCATCTGTTTGATCATGTGGTGAACAGAGTAAATCAGTGTTTTCCATTTGAAGCATCATCCTATTTTATTGGAGTCCTAGACATTGCTGGTTTTGGTAAATATAGTTTCATTTGTGACTTGTTTTTGTTTGATCTCATTCCATTCAATTTTTTTAAACTTTTTCTCCCATAATATCTTTCACTGGCTGTATTTTCTGTTCTATCTCTTACCTCCATTTCATTTCATAATATGATTTTAATAGCAAATGCTAAAAATAAAGAAGGAAAGGCTTCTGGGTTTTGATCACACTAATGCTGAAAATATTTGAAACATTGACTAAAAGCACTATATTTAGGGGCTGTCTCTGTATTCTCAAATGAATACAGGTGAATAAGGATAAAATTTTGGGCTGCTGGTAAGGGGGATAAAGTCAATACAATTACTGGTAACAGTGTAGAACAGAGTACAGGTTGACCTAGCAGACAGGCTGACTTCATTACTACATGTAAAAATTAATCATAATTATCAACAGATAGCTTTTCCCATTTAATCGCCCTTCCAGTTAGTAAGATTTAAGGATAAACATTGGAGAATAGATGCAGAATTATTCGACTAGGAATGAAATATATCACCAAAATCTGAGTACTGCTTTGTTCTGAATGATTCTGCTGTAAACATCTCAGAGTAAATTGGATTATTATTTTTTTTAAAACTGGACTTTATCAGTGTGAAGTGGGTGTTCTGACTCTGTGGGAGTGATATTTTCTTCCTTTGTAGCTTGTTTACCTTTGCCAAAGAAAGGTATGAGTGTTTATATTTTGGGAGGGGCAGTTTTATCACATAACCTTTTATACCATATAACTTTTTATAAAAGCTAGAGAAACACTTATTACTGACTTAAGATTTCACAGTCTTAGATACTTGCTTCCTGGTCTGTACCAGCTTTGGCATATCACCTGCCTACTCACAATCCTAACATTTTAGTACTATAGGGAACCTAGAGATAGAGTAATGTATTCCATTAATTTTAGAAATGTGTTAGTGTCCATCACTTTTTTTTCTGTGTATTTACAGATTACAGACAAAAAGTCTTCTAAAGTGTATTTACATCATTTTTTTGTTCTTTAACTTAGGTTGCTTTAACTCCTGTACATTAAAAATTTGTTACAGTGGGCTTATATTTTATATCTTTTATTATATGACATTTATCTCATGTGACAAATAGCTTTTTTATGGAAAGAGCAAGGTATCTTTAATACTTACTTTAATGCCTAACAAAATTTAAATCTTAAGATAAGAGCATATGGGGAGTTTAGAGCAATTATATGTATTTTTACTGAATCTTAAATTAGTCATTGATACAATAAAATTTTATTCCAAGATAAATTTATAACATAAAGTTAATCTCATGGTGACTCTTAATTCTGGTTTTATATTTTCAGAGTACTTTGAACATAACAGCTTTGAACAATTTTGTATCAACTATTGCAATGAAAAACTTCAGCAATTTTTTAATGAAAGGATCCTGAAGGAGGTAATTGCCTTTGGAATTTAGATTTAAGAACTGCAACAAATTATTTAGACTTCAAGGAACAGAATTGTGCCAGTTACCCTGACTGATGGGTAAAATGTAAGATACCCCAGGGGACCATAGATGCCCGATATAGGCCTCACTGGCTTAACCGTTGCTCAGACATAGCAAAAGTGATAATGGTACGGTTGGAGCTTAGAGACCCAATAAAAACTCTAGTAGGTACCTCAGGAATGAAGATCTATTACCTCTTACTTGGTGGCTTTTTCTAGACAAACTCCTGCTGCTTTTTCTGGTTCTATTAATCTGTTCCTGCAACTGCCTCCTGTGTTTTTACTTTCATCCCAGACCTTGGCATCTACCACCCTTCTTCTGTATCTGTTTCTACTTACTCTGCATGCTTGCTACCTGCTTGCCAGCCCTCTGTATGTGGCAGGAATCTTACACAGTTGGGAAAATTGGTGGGCCCATTGATCTGGAGAGCCTCTGGTACACTCATGTGTCTCTGTGAATGGTGTGCCATTGGCCAGATGTAAGTTTCTGACCCAGTAAAGAACTTCCTGCCACTGCTGCTAGTGAGTAACAATGGGTGTGGCTGACACCCAGTCTAGGAAAAGTACTTTATCATTCTTTAACATGCAGAGTAAGTAAAGGGGGGGTTGGATCAGTTTGTTTGTGATTAGATTTACCATTTCCTCCATTCTGTTCAAGTTTTTCAGTATTTTCCTGCCCAAACCCTTAACTTCACCTTTGAGCTTTGTGACATAAGTTTTACTGGTTGAAGATAGTCATGTTAAAAAGGAACTCAGAAATAATCTAGTGTGTCCATTTATTTTACAAATGAAGGAACTACTTTCCAGAATAGTTCAGTGACTTCTGTAGGTCTGGACTTAACCTTTCTGGCTGCTGGGATACAATACTGTTTTCTCTTAGTTTAGCACAGCTGTTCTGTAAGTTCTGCTCCCACTGGATAGACTTGAAATGTGACATACTTTACTTTCTATTCTCACTCCACTCATCTCTCTCTATTTTTATTCTGCTTTCATCTTTATGGGCATCTCAGCACATTCCAGCTTTTTTATATTTTATATGTATATTACATTTAAACCAAAGCTGGAATAAACAGGTAAAATAAGTACTTAATCAGTTGGGATAGTTTCATTCGAGAGGTTTTACCCAGCCACATTAGTTCTTCATTACCTCATGAAGTGATTCTCACTGAACACATTCTAATTCTTCCCTTCATGTCAGTGCAGCTAACTAGAAACTTCATAAAGAGAAAACACTATCATAGTTTATGTTAACTTTTGTAACTGTTCTTTAAAATAAATTTAGGGCCCTCCCTGGTGGCGCAGCGGGTTAAAGCACAGCACTGAGAAGCTAAAGCCACTTCCGCATGAGTTCAATTCCCGCCTGCCCCGGAGGTGACCACATGGTGTGGCAGACCTCTCCTGACCCGCCCGCTGCTCCCCTCAGCAGTGTACTTCCTTGATCTGCTTATTCTGTTCCCAGCTCTGTCTCTGGTGAAGCCTCTCACCGCCCCTGAGCCTCTGGCCTGTACCCCAGTTCTGTATGCACAAATAAATGAATCTTTAAAAAAAAAAATTCTATAAAATAAATTTAGATTTCAAATTCAGTTTAGATTCAAGTGGATAATACCTTCTACAAAGTCAGAAAATGTCCAGTGTATCTCTTGGGAGGAAATACTTAAATATTCAGAAAAATCATTGAAACATACAGTAACCTTAAGTCCATTGAATAGCTCACACATCTATGATAAAGATTTGATAGTTGATAAAATCCATTTAAAAATTTAAGAAGGTAACAAACTTACATCTATAGACATGAACCTTGATTTATAAATTGTTATTCCACATTCTACTTATTTTCTGTTCATATTTCAAGAAAGTGTGCCTGTGTGCAGGAGGGACATTTCCACATATGTCAGTCATATGTTGGCTTTTAAATTTTTTATTCCATCTTGCTTTAAGGGCAAGAATTTTTTAACCCCTAATGTTTTGTGGGACTCTTCAGCTCCCAAACAAGTTGGTATAAGCCTTATATTCTGACTAGTCAGTAAATGTTATGATCAGAAATGGCACAAAATGGTCAGTCTGTTTCATGCCACACAGTATTTCTATGTCTTTAATTATAGTTATTTAATCTTAGGAACAAGAACTGTATCAAAAAGAAGGCTTAGGCGTTAATGAAGTGCATTATGTGGACAATCAGGACTGTATAGGTATGTATTTCTTTACTCAACTTTTGGGAAATACCGGAAAATATAGTAAATGTTTTTACTAGTAATTTTTCAGTGCTGTGATTGATGTGGGACTAGAATCTGTGGTGTTTCAGAAAGGTTGTATTTTTGGAGTAAAGGTGGAAAGAAGGTTATTATTTTCTACCAAAACATCAAATTCAGTAGTGTAAAAATTTTCCTAAAATTTCTTCTGTTTATTGTGATTAGTATTTTCTTTCTTAAACAGCAAATGTGGATAAATAAATAAGGCAAGTGAATTGTTTAAGCAGTGAAGGGGCTTATTATCTCCTCTGAGATGGTTCATAGTTTAGCTAAGGTTCCAAGTGAGGTTCTTCAGGCACTGCTGTTCTACAGCTCTTCTGGTCTGTTATGTGTGCTTTGGCAGCAACATCTCTCTGGAAGCAAGCTACCTCAGGAGTTCCATGTGCCACATCCAAATAATACGTTGCACTAGGAGAACAGGGTCTCTGTTTTTCTTGTCAACCTTTATCGGAAAGACACTTGTCTTTTTCTCTACTGAGCTAGCAGTCAGTGTTCCATTTTTGCTCCCATCCAACCTCTAAAATCATCTTTTGGGTATGCCCTCTCTTGTATTAGCTTTTGATTTAATAATTCATATGTTTGAACTTGACAAGATAGTATTAAATAATGATACTACTTTACATTTGTGTAACTTTTCAAAGCATTTTCATACCCTTCTAAGCCAATTCAATATTTCTTTCATACCCCTCCTTTCTCACCTCCTCAGTGTCTTTGTGTATATCTCGGGTCAAACTTTTCTCCTCCCATTTATTTTACAGTCCACTTTCATATCCTTCTACTGTTATCAGAATACTTTTATTTATAGCTCAGTTTACCATGCCTCATTTTACCACCCATAATTCTTTTTTTAAATAATATAATAGTTTTTTTTTTTTTACATTATTTTGTGCCTTTTCCATCACAGTTGTAATCTCCATGGGCTTCCCATCACCAAATCACCCATGTGCCATCACCATAGTCCATGCACTCACTTTCCTTACCCCCATTTTTTATCCTATTCCCCACTCTACCCCCATAAAATGTCTCTAGTATATAGTTGTTCATTATTATTACTATTTACTCCCCTTGTCCTTTATACTCCTGCTATGAATGAAACCACATAGTATTTTTCCTTCTATTTCTGGCTTATTTCACTAAGCATGAACCCTTCCAGCTCCACCATGCTGCTGCAAAAGGCATGTGTTTATCTTTTTTGATTGCTGAGTAATATTCCATTGTGTATATGTACCACATCTTTTTAATCCAGTCATCTACTTTTGGGAATTTGAGTTGATTCCATGTCTTTCCTATTGTAAATATAGCAGCAATAAAAGTGGGAGTGTGGGTGTCATAATTCATTTTTAACTTAGATAGCAATCTGGAAGAATAGGGATTTTTAGTTTCTTAATCTCTCACCCTTGCTTACAAATGGGCTGGTTACTGCATTAGTCACTTTCTTTCTGAGTTGTTCTTCTAAAACTTGTGTTAAATAGAGGATGTAACTTTCTAATAAATTGCCAGATTTGAAATGAAATTCATCTGCTCTCAGCTTTTTAGAGACTATTTATAGGATAGGCTACATTGTTTCTAACCAATTTTTAAAATTTTCCATCATAAAAATTGTGCATGTATCTTTAAAATGGTGTAATACATACTTTACCATATTTTGTCTTTTTTGAAATAGACTTAATTGAAGCAAAATTAGTGGGAATACTGGATATTCTGGATGAAGAAAATCGTCTTCCCCAGCCAAGTGATCAACACTTTACATCTGTTGTTCATCAGAAGCACAAGGACCATTTCCGACTCACTGTGAGCTTGCGATTCTAAAATTGAGACTCAGTGGTAGGAAAAGAAACCTTTAAAAAATATGTCCTAGGTAATAACTATAAGATCATTCAATAATTAGAATCAGAAGCTATGGAAGACTTGGAGCAACCATGATTTTCCAGCTTATCTTCTGACATGTATATATAAAACACATATATATGTGTAAAATATTTAGAAAGGTTTATTTGCATCTGGCACTGGTGGGGAAGGAAGTGGGACCAAAAACTGGGAGGTAAGAACACAAGTTGACTATGGTGATGGTGCATGGTGATAGTTCTGTAGGGCTATACCTCAGGGAAGAGTATGATATGATGTAAAAATGAGCAATGATATAAAAAAAATACCTAGTACATTGCTTAATACATTAAAAGTAGAAAGATTTATCAGCTGCTGTAATTCCCCCCTGAAGCACAGTGCCCATCATCAGTTGCTTTATTTTGTGTCTTGATTGTGATCACATTCAGAGGTTAGCAACTAGAATCACAGGCACATTTGTGAGACCAGCAGTCAAAGTTATAACTTAATCTGACTGGTGGATGCAGTCCAAACCTGTACACTGTAGTGATGAGCCATTTCATTTTGGTGCCCTTTCCAAGAGAGTTCTGAATGGGAAATACACTCAGAGAGGGGAATAGAAGTGGAAGCAATAGAAGAATTAGTGAAGGAAACCAGACCAAAGGAATCAGGAGAAATAAATGAGAAGTGCATTTCTTAAAGGACCAGAAGGTCTGGTTCACTGAACTGCTCTTGAGTCATAGAGCTTTACTTAAGTCCTTGTGAAAAACAGTAGAGAATTTTTTTCTACTTATTTCTCTTTATGTATTTTACATCATTTTCCAGTTCTGTATAGTTTGCTTTCTTCTCTCAGTTGTAGTCCCCATAAAATTTTTACCACCAAGTCATCTGTGAGCCATCACCCGCATCTCGTGTGCTCTTCCCTCTCCTGTTTTAATCCCTTCTCCTCCTCCCCTACTGAATATCTGTGATTTATAGTTCCCTGCTAGTTTTGTCTTTTTTTTCCCTGCAACGCCTTTGTTGATTCTCCTATATCCCTCCTGTAAGTAAAACCATCCAATTTTTTTTTCCTTCTGATTTATTTCACTGAGTGTAATTCTCTCTAGATCTATCCATGTTGCTACAAATAGCATGAGTTTATCTTTTCTGATTGCTGAGTAACATTCCACTGTGTAAATTTATACCATATGTTCTTGATCCAGTTATCTGTTTGGGGGCACTTAGATGGTTTCCACATTTTAGCTATTGTAAATAGTGCTGCAGTAAGCACAGGATTGCAGGTTTCCTTTCAAGTAAAATCTTTTGAGTAGATTCTTAGGAGTGGAATTGCTGGGTCAAATGGTATATCCATTTTTAGTGATTTGAGGCACCTTTATCCAACTTTGCATAGTGATTGCATCAGTTTGTTTTACCATCAACAACGTGAGGTCCTTTTTCTCTACATCCTCGCCAGCATTTGTTGTTGCCAGTTTTATTTTTTCATACGGACCATTCTCACTTGTGTGAGGTGGTATTTCACTGTGGGTTTGATCAGCATTTCTCTGAGTATAAGTAATGTTGAACATTTTTTCATATACTTGTTGGCCATTTGTGTTTCCTCTTGGAGAAGTGTCTTTTTAGCTGAACAGTAAAGCCATTCACCATGAGGCTGGACTGTGTGGTTTTTGAGCTGTTTTCTGAGTTCAGTTGATTCTCTGTCTATACAATTGACCCGTCTCACCTGAGGTAATACAAGCCTAAGCCTCTTTGTGCTCAGAAAGAGCCTACCTCGCACAAAGAGTATGGGTGTTAATTTCATACTTGAAGATAGGTGGTGTTCATCTTCCATTGAATAATGAAGGAAGAAGGAAGACAGAATAAAGAAAAAGAAAAGAAAACTTGCTTAGAAATGCAATTGCCTACTACTACTATTGTTCTGAGATTATAGCAAAGTATGACAGTATTTGCTGTGATGGATCAAGGAGCTTCAATAGATAGCAAGTATTCGTTTTTCCTTGCTAACTCAAGAATGAACTAACTCAGAAATATATTAGGCTAGTAATTTGGATGAATTTTCTGAAAAGTAGACGAGTTGTGTTCAGCTTCTGCAGTAGCTGGTATTCCTCAATGGCCTGCTTCCCTCACTTGGAGTTCTTCTGGATTCCTAAATATTCCTTGTAATGTGGAGCCTGTATCTCTTACTTCAATGGCAATAGAAAGAAAACAATATATATCTTGACAAAATATTTGCTAAGATTCCAGATACACATGTGTTGATCTAGTTATTCACTGCGCACTGGTCTCTGTTACATCGTCTTGGCAGCACCGTTTCTTTACCGAGAGTGTTGATTGTTGTTAGTCAGCAGAATTGTGATGAGGATCTCAGAGGCATTTGACTTCAAGGACAGCAAGTAAAAGCATCAGAAATGGGCTTTTGCCATTTTTTCTCAAAAGGGAACAAGAGCAAAAGAGTAAACCCTAATTTTTATAGACTGATGCTTTTGTTATATTTCTCCAGAAATAAAAGTCATAATAATCATTTACTGAACACTTAGCATGTACCAGGCACCATTCTTAGGATTTTATTTGGCTTATTTTCTTGGATCTTCAGAATGATTATCTGGGATAGATGCTGCAGGTATTCCCAAGCAAGAGAAGAGGAGATATGTGCAGGGAAATTATTGGCCTGCCGTGTATAACACGGTGAGGAGCTGCTCTGGTTTTACTCTGGAGTTCTCACCCTGCCTCAGGCTGATGTATTGCGTTGTACAGAGAAGAAACTCTGTGTGGCTCTCTTACCTGGAGAAAGCCTTACTAGCTTCCCAAGTCTTTATCTTTTTCATTTTTAAATGAGAGTATCTTTTTAAAACTTAGGTTATTTTGTAGGTCACATGTTGTCTTTTATGTGAAAGCATTCGGAAACTTAAATATGACATGCATATGGGATATTATAATTAGGTAGTACAGCCCTAAAATGATTTAATTTCTTTCATATAGGTTCAATTATCATAGATGAATGCCTCAGGATGTATTTTGATACAGTGGGCTATATGTACAAATCACCTGATGTAAATGGTATGAGGTTTGGGAGATTGAAGTTTTCCAGGTGATTCAAATTCAGCATTCACTGCCAAGAACCACTGCTTTATTCATAGGTAGTTAACTTTATAAAATGTCTACTTAGGTTTTGTAAGTACTTCTAATAATGATTTTTATTTACTTGTTTTTCCTTTCCTAAGAGATTTTATAACCAAATATTTGCTGCATCTCACTGGTTCTCTTAAGACTCACTAGATGTTTTAAAAAATAATTTGTGAAAATTACTTTTATAATTTTAAGTTTTTATATCCCATGTGTTTTCTAAATAAAATTTTGCAACATATTTTTATAACTTAATAACTGATAAGTGTATTGTTTTTCAGATTCCCAGAAAATCTAAGCTGGCAGTTCATAGGAACATCAGGGATGACGAAGGCTTCATTATCAGGCATTTTGCAGGAGCAGTGTGCTATGAAACAGTGAGTAACTTTTACTGGGATGTTGAAGCTGGAATTTTTAATGTGATAAACTTTAGCCCCAGATGGCTGTTTGCATTTACGTATAATAAGTTGAGTTCCTCCGTATTCTTGCTACATTTGGTGTACTCAATGTCCAGTGACTGGTGGTGACTGTATTGGACAATGCAGATTGAGAACATTCTATCATCCCAGAAAGTTCTGTTGGATAATGCTGCCTTAACAGATATTGTCACCAGGTGAATGAAAACATTTGTTTGCTTTATTTCATTTTATTTGTTGGTTTATTTTTATTTGCTTTATTTTTCAGACCCAGTTTGTGGAGAAAAATAATGATGCCTTGCATATGTCTCTTGAATCCTTAATATGTGAATCCAGGGATAAGTTTATAAGGGAATTATTCGAATCATCCACAAATAATAACAAAGATACTAAACAAAAAGCAGGAAAACTTAGCTTCATCAGTGTGGGAAACAAATTTAAGGTATTTGTTTTACCTACATTATTTAAGAATTTTTAACTGAATTTAAAATATATTATCTAAATTCCACAGTAGGTAATATAAACCACTATCATACATCCCATGAATGAAGTTCAAACTCAGACCCTACTTGCTGGTATTTGTAAAAAAAAAAAAAATTAAAAAAAAAAAAAGCAAAGTAGGTATAGCAATCCTCCATACAGAAATGCTTATGATTTTATAAATGTGTTCTTTCTTGGTGCTTAACATATCTGATTGCTTCTCCTAATGTTCTTGCTTCTGCTTACTGTCTGATTGAACCTTCAAACCTTCTCTTTCCCACTTGTGTTTTCTGTTTCCTTCCTCATTCAGCAGTTTTGTTTTAGCCGAGTAGTCCAGCTCGGAATGGCTAGAGAGAACTAGTTGAGTTGAGAGGAAAAGCAGGCACAGCCAGGGGCTTCAGGTAAATGATCACCTTTGTGGACTCTTATTTATAGAATGGCTGTCATGTTAAAAAGAGGCTGGCTTAAGTTATGACTCAGTTTGTAATTCATTTTCAACCTGTTCTAGCTCACAATGCTCTATGAAAGTACTTATTACACTAAAACTTGTTTAAAGTTTTTGTAAAAGATAAGTGTGTAGCAAACCCTTCCAACTGCTTACATAACATTGAGAAACATTTCATTTTGGGCTAGGATTTATTCTTTGAGGTCTAACAAGGAATTGTCACATGATGTGTCAGAAATGGAACACTTGTTGCTAATTGACTGTAATTATTGAGCATTTAGATTTAGATATTTTGAGATAATTTAAAATTTTGGTGTCATAAGCTTAATGAGTAAAAAGTTTAATAAATAGAGCAAAGAAGCTGAATTAATTTCTTTTCATATTTCCATGAGGTATTGTTGTTTTACAAAAAACTCTTGTCTTTCATTTTATCTACTTTATAAATAATTAGCAGCCCTTAGTTAACAGAATACATTGATACTAAGAGTATAGGTGTCCTGAAATTTTTGTGGATTGAAATGGACTGAGTAACTAAAATGATATGTTTATAAAAGCTAGATTTTTAAAAGAGCTTAAACATAAATACAGGAAAAAATGTATATTTCCAGTAATTGATTAAAAAGTCTGTAACTTTATCATCAGTTAACAATCATTTATTATGAGTTCCTGATAGTCTTGAGCAATATTTTCCTTTAATTTGGATATTCTTAAATTTCTGAATAGACATACAAAGATTGATTTAAAGTGGTACTTTTAGTCTATATGAAATGGATATTACTCACTGCATGTTTTCCTACTAAAATTATTTCCTACTAAATTATTGTAATATTTTAAACAATATAAACAAAAGCAAAAGCATTCTTAAAATTCTTTGGATTAAAATATTATGTTGAGCCTTGAAATGTCTTAAAATTACATATATCTACTAAGATATATTTTGCATAGTAAACAGCTGAAAGCTATGAGTGATATTGTTAATAAAGTATTTCATTTATTTCCAAGGGTTTCTTTGAAATGAAATATTAGTATTTTAACTGTAGTAGAACAGCCTAAGCGAAATTATATCTGTGTAAGGCAAGAAAAATTACCCTGGTATTTATAATAGTAATATTTCAGTTCTCCAGCATCACTGAAAACCAAAGTTTTATACTCAAAAGTGACTGTTAGATTATTGAAACAGCATTTTTACTGTTGGTGTTTTAGAAGTAGTTTTTTTGATGGAAATCTAATTCTGTCATGTAGGAATATTTGTATTGTTAAAATATAAATAAAGCATAAGTTGCATGAGATGCCTTTATTTTATAAAGTATGTTCCTTGAAATTGACATTCTTCCCCTTTTTCTCAGATTATATTAGTTTATTTTTGCTGCTTCTACGCTTAATTTTTTTTTTCATTTTGGGGGTGAAATACTGAACTTATTAGTTACAGATTAAGAAGCATAGGCGTTGTGATAATTTTTCTTTCTGAATTGGTGGTTCTTATACTTGCTTTCAGTTGTGTGATAGTGCCGATTGATTAAAGCTGTCAGAATTCTGTCAACCAGTTTAGTGGGGTATGATTGTATTTTTTTTTTAAGCTTGTGAGAAATTCAGTCTATTTTGTTTAAAGACTTATTTATTTATGCATACAGAACTGGGGTACAGGCCAGAGACGCAGGGGAGGTGAGAGGATTCACCAGCAACAGAGTGGGGAGCAGGACAGGCCAACTGACGAAGTACACTGCTGAGGGGAGCAGCAGGCGGGTCAGCAGGGGTCTGCCACGCTATGTGGGGTGGAGATCGAACTCATGTTGAAGTGGCTTTAGCTTCTTACTGTCATGCGTTAACTGGCTGAGCCACTAGGGAGGGCAATTCAGTCCATTTTTATATAATAGGCCCATGTTGTCTGAAGTATACTAGTATCATGGGTTAGTGAATGAACTTCACTGTCAGGGCTATATTGAATTTTTGCTTTGCCATTATTGATTTCATGATCTTTGGCAAGTTATTTACCTCTTTCAGTGATTCACATTAATAAGAAGCTAGTAAAGTATCCTTAATTAGAATTGTGTGCACGTTAAACATGCCCCTGCAAGCTTTAAGCAGTGCCTGACTCGTAGAAACCATAAAGTATGTCCATTATTACTACTGTTAATTATAGCTATGATTGATGCAACATGTTAATTTAAAAATTAGCATCTTATTTGTCTTGTAAGCATTATAATAAAAGTCTTAGTATAAAATTGATATAAACATTTTATATAGTTTGCAGAAAAGAAAGCAAAAACATTGATGTAATCACTTAATATTATTAAAAATAGTGCTTATTGTCATTTTTTAAAAGAAAACTTCCCTTTTAAAAACAATTGAGGTGTGAAAGTTCAAAGATAGTAAAGAGGATTTCTGTAGCTAGGCAGGATAATTCATTTATGATAAGTGGTATGAAAAGCAATCCTCATACTATACCATTAGTGTATATTTTAGCTATATCTTCATTCTTGATGGAGTGTAACCCTACACTACACCATTCAAATGCTGTTCTGTTGATTTCTTATTGAGTGCGTCTCTACAATTTTAATTTGCTTTCTTCATAACCTGTACATTTTTCCTCATTCGCCTCACCTACAGGTGTGCATGTATGCTTTTTAGTTTCACTAATTTCAGCCTTTTAATTATACAAGTTCTGAATTAGTAAAATAAATTGTTGTCTGTGGCATTACATTAGTTATATATTTTGCATGACATTATCTATTAAGAGTTTCCATATCAGAAGTTGTTAAACTAATGTGTTGTTTGCCAATATTTTTGCATGTTATTTATTCTAATAAAGAGTTAATATTAACTTACTACATTGGATGCTTCTGCTTTTTGAAATAATAAGATGATTTCCTTTCTTCTACAGACACAGTTAAATTTGCTATTGGATAAACTTCGAAGTACTGTGAGTACAATTTTAAATATTCCTTTTAAAATGTAATTAATAATTAACCACATTAAAGGATCCTTTAATTAAGGATAGTAAATTTGGAATAAATAACTAGAAATTCAACTTAAATTTCTTTTACTAAAAATTTCAGTTTTTAAATTTTTTTTTTGCTTATGTTTGTTTTAATAAAAGGTCAAATATGTAGAGTCAAATTATTTTATAGATATGTAGAATTCTATGAATATTACTAAGGTATGTTGTAGTTTTAGGAGAGTAAAGATTATTAGTTATTATGGAGATGAATGTATGAAAAAATAAGCATAGTATTTTTACGTAATCAAAGTTTCCTAGGAGACTATCTTTGAACTAGACAACATAATAGTTTGCTCTATATTTTTTTAAAGGTTTATTTATTTATGCATATAAACTGGGATACAGGCCAGAGGTGCAGGGGTGGTGAGAGGATTCACCAGAGACACAGTGGGGAGAAGAACAGGACAACTGATGAAGTACACTGCTGAGGGGAGCAGCAGGCGGGTCAGGAGAGGTCTGCCACACCATGTGGGTCACCTCTGGGGCTGGGGATCAAACTCGTGCTGAAGTGGCTTTAGCTTCTTAGTGCAGTGCTTTAACCTACTGCACCAACAGAGAGGCCCTGCTCTATTTTTTTTAAATGAATTCATCATTGAAAGAAACTAGATATATGGTCAGATAAATTAAGACATTTTTAAAAGAAATTCACAGAACTTAACTGAGTACTCTTTCAATAGTCATCTTGATAAGTCTAGTATTTATTCTGTTGGTGTTTTGTTGCATAACTGTTTTGAAATTGTTAAGTTCTTGCAGTTCTTTTAAGAGCCAAACATCTTTAAAGACCAAAACTGATGAGGAGGGTATTTTATATTTATTCCCAAATGTAATGGTACTCAAAAAAGATGAGATTATTTTTGAGATTTCTAAGCATAAGCCATTTCTAAAATGTGTTGTATAAAGTTTTTGAAATGAGTACCATTGTTGAAATAATTATCCAGTGTTGCAAAGTGATTACTTTGAAGGGGAGCACATATTTGGATTTTAGTATATTAACTTCCTTGTGTGCCTGTCAGTGTTCTTTCTGCCTCATTCAAAATCTGATAACCAATTACAAATAAATGCCTTCCCCTGATGTTACAGCTGTTATTTTCCAGGCACCCTGAGAATGACCTGTCTTAGGAGGTATAATTTACTTCTTTCCTCATAGTGCATTTTGTTATCATAGAAGCATAGCCTATAAATACATTTAATTGTTAGGTTAAATCACATGGATAGCAGCTTATGAAATGTTATTAAAATATGTTAAAATATCTCACATAAGATAGCTATACATAAAATTTCTTCTTGACACTCTAAGTATTTTTCTAATAGGATTAGATATAATCCTGTATGTAATCTATAGTGCAGAAATTTACTCTAAGCCATAAATTACAAATTTGTGGTAAGAAAGTTTTAATTTCTTTAGTGACATTTCTAAAAATGCTCATACATTAATGCTTTTAAGCTCTAAAAATTGCTGGTATTCAAAGAAATAGAAAAATAATACCATATGTATTGTATCAAAAAGTACCTTTCTTTCACTAGGGAGCAAGCTTTATTCGTTGCATCAAACCTAATTTAAAGATGACAAGCCACCACTTTGAAGGTGCTCAAATTCTGTCTCAACTTCAATGTTCAGGTATTTCCATATTTTTGTAATCTATATAAAGGTATATAAGGAGACTTAGTTGATATACAACTGAATATGTTTAGTGTTTCCAAACAACACTTTTCTTGACTAATTTTAAGTACAATAATATTTTTGTCTTATATTTCTTTTAATTATAAGAAAGGCATGGCTGGCAAGTTGATATATGGTTTGTTGTGAATATAACATTTTATCACTGAGGTAAAATTCCTATGTTTTTTAACTGTAAACTTAGGTCTCCCTTAAGTGGACTGTTCACCTATGTTTTTCTTAGTCTTGCAGTTCATGTCTCATTCCCCACATAATAGGTCCACAGTTAGGTTATGATATCTTGCTACCCACTCCACCACTTGTGGGAAAAAAGAAAATGAAGTGAAGCAGTGTCTTCTACTCCTTGGGACTGTTACGCATTTGGTTAAACCAGCACTTCCTAAGCCTTGCCCTGCCACTTTCTGACTTAATCATAGAAGTTATAGGTACCAGGCTCCCTATTTTTCCTTTTTTCTATACCCATCCTCTGTCTTCCCATACTACACCTTTCCCCCAGGGCATCAGTGCCCTCTTTCCTGTTGAGCCAGCTCAGGCTCACGACATTTTCTTCAGCCGTCTTGCATTTGACTTTTATAATTTAATTTAACAGTCTTCCCCTGCTTATGTGGAGTATAGCTCCCACACCTCCAAATCTGGATCTACTCTTGATCCCGCTTATAAAACCTTAATTGTTAATGGATGTAATTCTGATCTTTTCTTCTCATCTGTACAGACAGGGTAGACAAGACAGGTTGGCACCATTATAAATTTATGATCTCTAGGGCTTCAGACCCACCCTTGCCAAGTTTCCCCGATCTGCATATGTATTTCTCTATGGAGACCTATGATAATTACCCTCAGTCTTTGAGCTATTGCCAACAATATATCACCTCTTTACTAGAAAAACCAAAACTTTACCTATTTGCTACTAAACACAACCTACTGCATAAATTTACCTACTGTTAAGAAGGATGAAGAAAATAGGAAGAACCTTTCTTCCTAGAATAGACAATAGTTCCATAGAATCCACTCCTTCATACCTTCTTATGAGTCTTCAATATTGATTGTGTGTGTTGAACCATACCCTTTGAGAGGTGTCTCTCCCATTACCATCTAAACTTGTTAAACCTCATTTTAGTTCCCTCTGATCCATTCGCTTCCAGTTGCCTCCCTATATTGCTCCTTGTTTTTGTTCCCGTTTTATCTTTTTCCTCTCTAAGAACAACCTATTCATGCTTTCTCTTTTCTTGTCCACTTACTCCTTAATACAGGCGAGTTCCTCTTCCACTGTGATCAGCCCTCCAAAATAGCTCTTGAAAAGGTTACCAGTGGGTTTTTTTTTTTGAACCTAAATCAAATGTTCATGTTGAAGCCCTCATCTGCACAGCAGCCTTTGACTTTTAACCAGTTTCTAAATACCCTTTCCATGGATCCCAAAACAGCTAATCATGGTGCTTTTCTCTAGAATTAGGTGGCCATACCTGATTCCTTTTTAGGTTGGTCATCTTTTACCTGGATATTACTTATTAGAGTTTGTCAGACATTAGATTAGGCCTATTTCTTCACTCTTTATGAACATTATGCAATATAATTTTCCATGATGATGAAGTTTTTATTAGCCAGTTCAAGTGCTCAATAGCTAAAAAATGTATCTTGGCTACCATATGGAGAGACACAGATATTTAGGGCTACAGAGAACTTGAAATATGGGACTAAATTTTACTGCATTTTAATTTTTTAAATTAAAATTTAATTATGTGGCTAGGTGCCTGCCATATTAGATGGCAGAGCTATATATTCTCTATGTCTCCCAAGACCCTTTAATATGACCTAAATGTTGTGTCTTTTTTTATCTCCAGATTTATTCAGATAGAATATTGCATAAGTTTGAATTGTACATGTGTTGATTTTATATACTTATGTATTGCCGAAATGATAACTACCATAACATTAGCTGACACCTCACATACCACATAATTATCAGTCCTCCTTTTTACAGTGAAAACATTTAAGATATACTCTCAAGGCAACAGTGAGTTTTAGTACTTCTTAATTCAAGCTAGCTTTTACTGTAGTTTCCTAGTTATTCTTCACTTATATGCAGAATTATGATTTCATAACAAGTCTTAGGTCTTTTTACTGCTTGAAATGCTGTAATGTCTCTGATCATTTTTAGGGTAAGTAATACCTTCATTTCACAGTAATTATTAAAAATTTTAAGCTATTTATAAAATAATTTAATTTTTCCTTCTACAGATCTATAAATCTATAAAGGCAGAAACTCTGTTTTGGCTTGCATTTTATCCCTGCTGCATGACAGTGCCTTGCATATCTAAGATTCAGTAAATATTTGTGGAATGAAATTCAGTCAAGCAATATGAAGATTTGTGTGTGACTAATTTTAACAAATACTGGAAAAGTTTAATAATTAATGTGTGCTGTATACCTGAATATAGGACAGATACAGTTTTATAGTATTTTCTTCAGGTCATCCTTCTTCTGCAATTGACTTTTATTCCCATTTAGATTTTTCTTTAGGATTTGTTTAGCCTAAAATAATAAATTATTTATTTCCTAAGTGTACATTGAGTGTTCTGGCAAATAAGTATGCTTAGACTTAATTATACATATGTTTAGATTTGCAGAATATGGGCTTACTCTTGCTTTAACGAGGATTTTTCTTTCGGTATGCTATATTCTTTTAAGATATATTGGCAGTTTAATAAATGACACCAATTCATAATAGTTCTATTTTTATAATTTTTTAAAGATTTTTTTATTTATGCGTATAGAACTGGGTATGCATAAATAAATAAATAAGGTCAGAGGTGTGGGGGTGAAAGGATCCACCAGAGAGAGAGTGGGAAGCAGAACAGGCAGATCTGCTGAAGTACACTACTGAACGGAGCAGCAGGTGAGACAGGAGAGGTCTGCTGCACCATGTGGTTCACCTCCCTAGCCAGGGATCGAACTCACACTGTACTGGCTGCCATAGCTTCATCGTTCTTTGCTTTAACCTGTTGTATAACCAGGGAAGGCCATAGTAGTTTGATTTTTTAAAGTAATAATAATACTAAGATTTTATGAATTGGTTCTCAATACTTACCTGTCATGCTGGTAGGTAATGAGAAAAGCAAAATATATCAGTAACTTGTAGAAATAAAAATATTGATAAAACTTTCTAAAATAAATTTAAGATTTGAATTATATTTTGCTTTCCATCTTCCATTAGCTTTTTTTCAATTTGAGTACTAATTGATATAGGACATCTTTTACTAAAATTACTTTTTTTTTCTGATCAGACCAAGGAACATTGGGGGATGGTGAGAGGAGGCAGGTTTTACCATTGTAATCTTGGGGCTGTGCTCCCTGTCTGAGGTAGCAAAGAAGAGTTTTCTGAGTATGACCAGCCAGGACTATATAAAAGACCCCGCACTTTTAGAGGAAGTACCAGTCCTGGAAAATTCTAGAAGTAAAAGTACTTAATTTTGTAATTTTTATTTTTTAAGCTTCAAGAGATGTTTAAATTCACTTTAAGTGCTAGGAAAGTAGCAATATAATTGATAATTTATCACATTCCATGACATATTGGTTTATCCTATAGTGCAGAGAATTTATGAACTGGTTTGCAAAACATTCATTAGAAATGTCATGGAATGTCTAGAAATATATGTGTGTGTGTGTGTGTATTATATCCTTTATAGTAATTTCATTGCTGATAATTCCAGTCATTTAACTTCAGATTTTTCTTTGTAAAAATCGATCATTCACAATTTAATCTTGGACTATAGCTATTGGCAATAATTTCTGTTGTTTTGAATCTAGGTATGGTGTCTGTTTTGGACTTGATGCAGGGTGGTTTCCCATCTCGAGCTTCATTCCATGAACTCTACAACATGTACAAAAAGTATATGCCGGATAAACTTGCAAGATTAGATCCAAGGCTGTTTTGTAAGGTACAAGTATCAATTAAATTAAATCTCTGTGTTATAAACTGTCTTTTTAGTAATTACCAGTTGGTATTTAACTTTTTAATATTTTTTTCAGGCCCTTTTTAAAGCTTTGGGCTTAAATGAAGTTGACTACAAGTTCGGGTTAACAAAAGTATTTTTTAGACCTGGCAAGGTAAATACATTTTTATTTTAAACTTAAACATGATCAAGAATATGAATAGTTGGGATCAGTAAATATTTTTTAAGGCTTTAGTGATTTGTATTGTTAAATTATATGAATACTTATAACATGTATATGTGCTTAAACACATAGTCTCCCCATTGTGAGAAGTTTTACTACATGAAGTTAAGCTTTTATTTCAGCTTTGGAAATACTGGTGTTAGAGCATTATGTAGTTGGATTTTCATTATATAAGGGTTCAGCAGAAAATACTTCTGTTTTAAGCAAATTGAAAGCATTTCTACAACATTAATTTAGTCTTTAGTAATTACAGATTTCACTTTACCATGGTAGATAATTAAAGTGTAGAAAATTGGAGAACTGAAGAAATGACTACTATCAAATCTAGAATGAATGAATGTAGAAATACTTTTGTATGTAACTAAATTTTCTTTGGCTAGCCTAAAGTTTTAATATTTATAGGTTCTTGATTACAAGATTGAGTTATAAAATATTTCATGACAAAATTATACAATACAGAAATATCCAGTACATTTGTAGTGTGTTAGTAATATTTTCATCATTTGTACTTTAATATTGACTGAATAATTACATCCTCAAAATTAATCAGTTGTTCCTGTGTAATAAATAGCCAAACATATTTGTGTGACTTAGCAAAGTAGGAAATAAATGTCTTTAATGCCTTATCAGTTAAATTAATCATAATAAATAAATTAGATTTCACATTTTGGGGCATAAAATACAGTGTATGTTGCATAACATATATGTACTTTGTTGTTAATATTTTTACTGCTGAGTACCCATCTAATTTCCTAGAAAAGAAACAAATTGAAAGTTAATGTATAATAGTTATAATTAGCTTAGTGGTTATCAAACATTTATTATAAATACAACAGTTTATTATAAGCTTTATTTTAGGGCTATAGTAATTATTTTAGGATGAATAACCTGTTAGAAAAAGCTCTTGATCTTGTTTACCTCTGGAAAGATCCACTAGTACAAAAATACATTGAAAGTACAGACAGATTTTCAGAGATCCTTAAACTCTTTGTTACCTTCAGTTGAGTTTTAATTGTAAGTTGTATTAATATGTATGTGATGTTATCAATATGTGTTGTGAGATAAGAGTATATGGCAAAATAGAAGTAATTATATAATTTGATATTAAAATATATGGAAAAAATAACTGTTTTACTTACCTGTTTTCAGCAATGTCTTACCTTTGACCAAAGTAGAAGTGGGGTTGGGAGAGAGAATAGTTTTGGTGATCTTACATAGCTCACCTTCACTTGTCAGCAGGTATATACCAATATCTGGAAATGTGGTTAATCCACATAAGAGATATAATAAACATTTTTCCATTGTTCTCAGTAACATGTTTTTGCCATTTGTAATGTAAATTAAGGTTTCTTTTTCTATTTTTTTCTAATGAATCTACTAATTAAAAATGGGTAACTAATAACAATAATGAACAAATATATACTAGAGACATTTTACAGGGGTGGAGTGGGGAATAGGATCAAAAACGGGGTGGGGGAGAGAGGGAAGTGCATTGGACTGTGGTGATGGCACACGGGTGATTTGGTGATGGGGGATTACAACTGAGATGGAAAAAGGTACAAAATGATGCAAAAAAAAAAAAAACACTTTATATTATTTTTTAAAAATGGGTACCGCCACTTATCCCTCCCTCCTCCACCCAAAGACCTAGAAGAAAGAAGATAAAGGCAGCAAAATGTCATCAGGTGTGTTTGGATTTGTGTAGACTTCACTGAGATGTGTCTGTGTATTATGTTTATGTAACGTACTATGGGACTATTTCCAGAAAGTTAGATTTGGATTTGAGTTACAGTTAATTCATGTTTCTGTATGTTTAAACATTTTTATCTTTTGATTTCTAATATTATTTTATTTCTTAGTTTGCAGAATTTGATCAGATTATGAAGTCAGATCCTGACCATTTAGCAGAATTGGTTAAAAGAGTCAATCACTGGCTTATCTGCAGTCGCTGGAAGAAGGTTCAGTGGTGCTCACTCTCAGTCATCAAATGTAGGTATTTCTTTCACCCCCAGAACTGTTACTGTTTTAGAAATGTATTGGCTTGGTGAGCTGGACAACAGAGACTGTGGTGTTTGTTCATGCTGTTTTTCTGATTCCTCCTTATATGTAGCATGTGATAGCATTTGTAGACTTTCTATTTTGAGTGTATGTATGGCACTTACTTTTTTCATCTGAATGTGTTATAGGAGAGTTAATTTCACCCCCCCCCCCCCCCCGCCAGTCTCTCAGTCTCTCAGAATTAGGCAGGAACTTTCTTTTTTCACCTGGCATTACCAGCACACATGTGGTGGAAACTTTCAAGATTGTGATTATCCTCCTGATCCCAGAGATCTTGCCAGTCAACAAATAGTGTTGATTCCTCCTCCAGAGTGTACACTCTTTCCTCTTTCTTGCTAATGCATTAGTGGAGCCCTCATCTGACATGCATAAATTTCTCAGAGTAATCTTCTCAGAGATCTCTCCCTAAACTAAAAGTTTTGTTTTGTTTTGTTTTTTATTAAGGTTCTCCTTTAATTGTTATTCAGTCTCTGTCTTCCAAGGCCCTGTAAATGGGACTTCAGCTTCTGGTTCAGACTTTTCTCCTGTCTGTCCCCTTTGATACCCTGTTTCCTGGCATAAACTGGAATGAGTTGCTTTCTTCTGGTTCTGTCAGTTTTTGTCCAAAGAAAGTTGTAGCTTTATTCTGCTTATCTCTGACTCACCTGAATGTCTGTAGCAAGCTTTTAATTGTAAGGAGCTGTTTTCAGTATCTTGATTAAGTTTATAATTGCTTCCCCCATAATATCAGAGTACTTGAAACAGTGCTAGACACATGCAAAAGATTCTATAAAATTTTCCTTATTAATAGAAACATAAATTCTTTAATATCATGAAAAGCAACAATACAAACAAAACTTATTACTGAATTCTTGATAGACAATTGTAAATATGGATAAAAGGAAAACTGTAATAAAGAAAAAAAAATAGCAGGAGCTCTTTTCCCATCACTTTCCATTACTTATATAACCTATTATCAATGTAATGCATGCTTTCAGCTTTGTACATTATAATGGAAAGCACATTAAAATTATCTGTACTGTATCATCCAGTTGATTGTGTTGCACAATGGTGCTGAAGTCAACACCAGATGGGATTTTTGCAGGGTGTTTAAATAGGGACACTAAAAAAAAGGCTTAAAAAAATGTTTCAAGTCAGATCAATCTAGGACTGTCTAGATCATTCTGGGTAACTGAAGTCAAATACATATCTTTATATGCAGCTGTCAGGGGAATGCTCATGGTGAACCTCGAGGGAAGGTATAGCATATAGCATTTCCAAAGGACATTTAATAGATGAATACTTTTTTCAAGACACACCTGTTAACATTTTATAGGCCAGTATTGCCAAGGACAGTTTGGGAAGCAGTCGTACAGTATAAGGAAATTGTGTTTTTAGAAAGCCTAGCCATATGCATACTCTTATCTTTTATTTTAAGAAGTATAAGGAATTAAAAAAATGTTAACCTTGATTGATTTTGATGTCTGGTATAGTGCATTCATCAAGATTTCATGTATTTTGAAAGTTGTGGAAATGAATAATTTTTTAAAATATTCTGATTAAACTGAATAGTTTTCTGTAATTATCTTTCCCTCTTATACATAGTGAAGAACAAAATAAAGTACCGAGCTGAAGCCTGCATTAAAATGCAAAAAACCATTAGAATGTGGCTTTGCAAAAGGAGACACAAACCTCGGTAAGATGAACAATACTTAAGGAACTCTATACAACCTGGTAAAGTGACTATAAAGTCATAATGAAGAGTGGTTTGGATACTCAGAGTCTTCCCCTTTCTGAGGTCACTTATGAAAAGAGACTGCTCTGCTATGCTTTGTCTACTTAAAATCTCAGTCCACACTGTTGTTGTGTCTTGGTGTGAGAGTGTGGTGGTACTGCATCTGAAGAGATGTGGGCCTCTGACTCACATACAATGCTATATTAGTAACATTTCATTATTTGTGAACTTTTGCTTCATTATTCCCTTAATTCAACAAAAGGATGTGTTTCCAAAAATGTAAAAACTATGAAAGATTTAAATAGGTGGGTGAAAGCTGCACTTTCATTCATTCAGATTGTTTTAGTGATTTGAGTTTTTTGATAAATGTTAACTTCACATTGTTTTTCAAAAATCTCAGTGTTCTCAACATAATTCTTAAGGTGATCTATTTCAGTTATATCATCACACTATAAATTTAGTCTTTATTCCTCATTATTTGACACTTTCATTTTTAATTTAATTTGGGTGTTTTAAACTTGGAGGTATTCTGTTGATCTGTAACACTTTTGTGAAGAGATCACATCATTTAAGTTTTTCTGTAATTTTAAGACTTAATGTAAATGTAAAATGCTTGCATCCTGTTGACAGATATTCACACCCATATTTATTTATTTATTTTTACCCATAACAAGAGTTCTGAATACTGAATAAAATTAAAACAGAAGTGAAATATTTCCATTTAATAATATGTAATAAAAATTACATTTTATTAAAATGAAAAATCTACTTATGGCATTAAATGATAAAGTGATGAAATAATATCTTTACAGCATTGATGGTCTGGTTAAGGTGGGCACATTGAAAAAACGACTGGATAAATTTAATGAAGTAGTAAGTGCACTGAAAGATGGAAAACCAGAGGTGAATAAACAGGTCAAGAACCTTGAAATTTCAATTGATGCTCTAATGGCCAAAATTAAGGTATGTAATTCTAACCCAAATGCCTTTGACTAAAAAATTTTTCTACATGTTTATTTGCTAATTATTATATTTATATTTTCATTTCTTTTTCTCAGTTATGTATTAATATCTTAACATTTTTTATGTATGGTTTCATAGGTCACTAATTATATGGGATATGTAAACTTTTTATCATACTTTCTCAGATATGTTATGTAGACTGTATATCTTGGTTTTAGAAGATCAGAAGTAGAATGGAGAAAAAAGATCAGGAAAAGAGAGAAAATACTTTGGATAAACTTAGCTAATTTTACAAATCTGTCTAGAGCCATCTCTGTTTAGGTGGTATTATTAGTTAAATCCAACCTAGCTACATTGCTTAAAAATTTACTGAGGGAAATCATCCAACAATTTTGAATGTATTGAGTATTTTTTAAATTTTACTTAGGTACATTTTAATGTCATCATTAAAGAGTAGTAAACTGACAAAATTACTGTATCATTCCTTGAAAAATAAGTTTTTAGCTGCAATGTTTCATTGTCTCCAGTATACTCTCAGTTTTTTGATTACTTAGCATTAGAAAAGAGAGTCAAATGTTTGTATCCAATGATAAAGTTTTTATTTTTTAAAATATTATTTAATATTCAAAGAGCAGAGTGTAGATATAAGCATGTTGCTTACCAAATTTTCTATTCTTTGTGCACATAGTTTTTTTAAATTGTGATAAAAAGCTCAAAATATTAAAATTGCCATCTCGAGTATTTAAAATGAGCAATTCAGTAGTGTTGTGTATCTCAAATTGTTATGCAGATGAAGAGAGAATTTTTTTTTGAAGAGATAACTTTTTAAAGTGCATGTTTATTATTTGGTTTTCTTTAAGTCCACTATGATGACAAGGGAACAGATACAGAAAGAATACGATGCACTAGTTAAAAGCTCAGAGGAGCTCCTCAGTGCCTTACAGAAAAAGAAACAGCAGGAAGAGGAAGCAGAAAGACTGAGGCGTATTCAGGAAGAAATGGAAAAGGAAAGAAAAAGACGTGAGGAAGATGAAAAACGCCGAAGAAAGGAAGAGGAGGAAAGACGGATGTGAGGCATTTCTGTTTTGCTTTGAATTAGAAGCTAACATAATAGTAAATTCCTGGTGTGATGAGTGATGAGTGAATAGTCATGTTTTTAAGATGTATCCTTAGTTTAAAATACTAACTAGTATTTTAATTAGAAAATGAGCACATTTTATAATATAGCCTGAAATAATTTTGAATACCTGAATGTTTGTTAGATTCTTACCCCTGAAGAGCTCTTTGCTTCTTTTTAAAGTTAAGACTTGTGCTCATTGTATCAGCTAGAAAAAAAGGTGTTTCTACTTTCTGCAGTTTTATAACTGATAACTGTTGGGAGATTGCCATGACAGCGTAGACAGAAGGAATAGAAGAGTTGTTCAGTTGGAGGAGTGGAAAGAGGCATATATAATCAGGACCTTAGAGCTAAATTTTATCACCATGTTAGTCTAGAGATGTTAAAGGTTATGGAATATAATTATAGTTGTTTTATTTCAGAAGAATTATGGTCAGTATTGTTATCCCCCCCCCCAATAAGTTGATAATGTACACAGCCAGGGGTTAATTTGTGTTTCCATTCTCCCTTTGTCTGTCTCCCTTCTACCTTCTTCCATCCTTCTTCCCTCCCTCCCTCTCTTCCTTTTTAATTGAGGTAACCCTGATTTACAATACTGTGTGAGTTCAGAATTACTTCTGCACACCTCAAACAACGTATCTCTTCCCCTGTGGTAACCATCATTCTGCTGTCAGAGCCTTTAGTATTTTTGTTTGTTCATTTGCTTTATTTCTGTATATTTAAATGTGTGAAATTATGTCTTTCTTACTCTGGCTTATTTCACTTAGCCTAAACCCCTCAAGTTCCTTTCATTTTTTAGTTTCTTTATTACTTGATTAATTTAAGTGTCTTAATTATATCTATAATAAGTCATTGATTTCCTCATTTCTGTGCTTAATTCTTCCAGTTGTAGGCCTATATATTTGACATTGTAGTCTAAGTAAAGATGTTCAAGACTCATATCTTCCTGAACTAAATCTTGTTTATTAATATTTAATTTCCTGAGGGAGTTCTTATTTACTATTACATACTTGAGTTTTCTATTTTTTGTTAGGAAACTGGAGATGGAAGCAAAGAGAAAACAAGAAGAAGAAGAGAGGAAGAAAAGGGAAGATGATGAAAAGCGTATTCAGGTATGTACTTAATAGACAGTCAAAAAGAATTTCTGTTAAAATATTGATAGAATCTACAAAGTCATAAAATCAAGGAAGTAAAAAGATCACTCTTTTCTAGATAACTTATCACTGATTTATCCCAGGTGTGAAAGACAGTTTCTGAAGTTCTGAAGTGGTTTTGGTGAGAGAATTTGAGCTCAAATCCAAGTTCTTTCACTGCAGAGAATGGGACATTGCACAAGTCACATTGAGTGACTGTAGACCCCTTTTCTCATTGTAGGATGAAAATAAATGATTGTTGTGAGCAGTAAATAAACAAACATGTTAGGGCATTTAAAACAGTGCCAAGCTAAATAAAAAATTAGTCTTGTCAGTGCTATTATTATCACCTAAGGGAGAATCAAGTCAGTGCTCCCTTAAAACATTTCAGATACTAATATTAACAGGTCAGGATTAGGGTATTCTTCCTGTCTGCTCTCTGGTGTTGCTGTTAATATGGTATCTGGGATCGTCATGTGATATTTGGGTGGCATATCATCGTGATGATTTGTTAGGAGTCTGGTTCCTCTGCCTTCCTCTGGAAAGAGAAGGCATTGGTCATGTAGAAGAGAACTGAGACTTAGGAGATGGGATTCCACTTAAACAATGTACATCCCTCTGTAAAGAACTTGTGCCACGGTTTCAAGTACTAATGGGAGTGATCGAGTGAACTAATGGTGAGCCTTTGTTAAAATGATTTTGACCTGGATAGGCTGAAGTGGAGGCGCAGCTGGCCCACCAGCGGGAGGAAGAATCACAGCAGCAAGCAGTTCTGGAGCAGGAGCGCCGTGACCGGGAGCTGGCTCTGCGCATCGCCCAGAGTGAATCTGAGCTCATCAGCGACGAGGCCCAGGCTGACCCGTCCCTCCGGAGGTACTGGAACTCTTCTCTTTCTCTACCTCTCGGCTTCTCATTTCTGCAGAAAGAGAATAGGCGCAATTGTATTTTTAGGTCCTGATACTTTTCTTTTAAGTAAAATCACTTAAAATTATTTCCATCCACTTTTATACCCAAGTGAACAAAATAGTTGATTTCCTCTGATTGTTAAACTATTGAAAAACAAAGGTCTTCTTTCAGTTTGAGTATTTTGTTAAACTTCAAACATCTCAACTGACATTGTCAGTTTTTTGTAAAGAGTAGATCTCTGATTTCTAAACATCAGTGATTTAAATACTTAACATAGAGATCAGTGACTTTGTTATCTACTTTAATATTTTTGAGGTTGAGATTTATTATCTAAGTGAAAAATATACATTGTCTATCTTTCTTCCCATTCCCATGCCCACATTCTTCAGAATAAATGGATTTCCTTTTCCAAGAAGGAAGATGAGTCATGCTGGAATTTTGGCTCCCTTTGTTTTCATTTATCTCTGAATATCTCTTGTTGGATACGGAGAAATACAAATATTTGTATTAAAAGTTGCAGGCAGGTTTAATAGAACAGATTAGTTTTTTAAAAAAATTTAGACAGTAGAACTGTTAGTTATTTTACGATTTATTTGTAAAAAATATACCCAAACTGGGTTGTATGTATGTAAGTGTATACATATTGGGCTGTACATAGACAAGTATAGCCATGCTTTTCACAACCTCAGAGCATTGTTTACTGGCAAACAGAATGCAGGTGCAACCACTAGAGGCCACTATTTCTCTGCAAAGGAAGAAAACCTGGTTCAAATTGCATGTTGTTGGTGATTTTTATTTAGCTGAAAGCAAAGATAGGGAGAAAAGAGTACCTTAAGTGGTTTTGACACTTTTGTCTAGTGATTATATTGGGGACGTCTAGTATCCGAGTTTTACGTGAAAATATATTTCAATGAATTGAACAGGCCTATCAAACACAAGCTCTTAGAGTAATTGTTAGGCCTTGTATTTTTAGTTCAGTATTTGGACTCTTAATTAACATTTCTCTACATATTTTCACCCAGCTATGCACTTTGTAACTGCAAATTCAGTTCAGTTATTGTTTTGTTTCTTCCCTCGGTGTTATGTTGGACTGGCAGGGAATCTTTGTGTTTAAGTGATGAGTTTCAGGACCATACTCTTAAGCCAGGTGCCTACACTCCTATCCCTAAGTTTCCTGAAAAGTATTGAAGTTAAAAAACCTGAAATTATTATAACTGAGGTTCATGCTGAAGGGACTCCTAAGTGGAATCATTGTTGATATTTGTGGTCAAACTTTATGTTCCAGCATTTGAAATATGAGCTATATTTGCTGTTATTCCATGTACTATAGAATATGCTGGTTTATATGTGAACTCCTTCCTGTCTTCAGAAGCCACACTTCTTCCAAAATAAGTGGTGTCAGAGAAAGAGCAGACCATTTAGCACCTTTAACATAAATGACAAGTTACCTGTGATTTAAGTGGAATTAACTAGATAATGGGACCACTATTAAGTAATTAGGAGATACTCAGAAGCTATGACTTGAAAGGCAAAAAAAAAAGTTCTCCTGTGGACCAACCCTAAGGGTGGTGTCCTTTCTTCTGGACTGCCCATTTAAATTCTTTTCTCAAGGCCTCTTCCAGGAGAATTTACCTGGTTTTCAGGACCTTGCAAGCACCTCTTTTGAAATACCTGGTTACTTTCTACTCTATAGTATAATCATTAGCACTTCATTATGGGTAATGATCTGTACATATTTTTCATGTTTAATAAATTTATCTTATTGCATGGATATAATTAATTTTTTTTTTGCTTGCTTGGTTTCCCTTTGCTAGCAGTGAGTTCTTTTTAAGAAACTTATGAATAAGAGTTCTGTGTAACCTTTTACTATATAACATGTAAATATTGTTCTTGGCTTCTGTGATGCATTACAAATATATGTGGATAGGTCCTGCTGCCATAAATAATTTCAAGTTACTTTTCCAGCTTGGATTCCCAACCAGTGGCTTCTGAGTAAGAATTTTTTTCTGATATGTTTAAAAAAATTAATCAGTTACACATATGATCCTTGATGCAAAGTAATGATTTCATATTACCTGAAATTATTAAATATAACCCACATTCAATTAAAAAAATCTCACAGTACATGAATTTTCTATCTAGATGTAATATTTTTAATTTTCATTGACTGCTTTTAATTCTTTTTTAATTTATTGAAGATTTATAACTTAAATTTATAAATGATCTCAAAAATAAAAAAATGTAAAAAAAATTAAAAATTCTAAATGATGGAAATACATATTTTAATTAAAAATAATGGGTTTTAAAATTAATTATTGAAGTCATTGAAACCAAATTTGCACAAATCCAGATTTTCACAAATCAGAATAGGTGCTGATATTAACTAAACTATATTCTTTTTACAGAGTTGATGGAGCAAGACCCAAAATGACACCGTATGTCATTTTCCTTTTTAAAACTAAGCTTAGTCATATAACCTCTTTTGTAATAGGTTGTGAATACTTTTAGCAAAAATAATTTCCTCACTGAAGTAAATTTTATATTATTTCCTTTTACTTAAGAGAAGAAGCTAACTCATTATTCTTTCTCCCTTTTTTGGGTAGGAAAATGTTTAATATTCCTGTTTGATACCATTCACACTAATTTATCATTTTTGTCTTTGTTTTCTGACTAACTTTAACACCTGTTTTCTTTGTTTTTAATAACTGTTACATCTTTATAGAAACAAATGTAGAGATATAAATAAGAACAAATGAAATATTAAAAGTATTTGAGTCATAGCAGATAGCTTAGTTTTCAATATAAATGAGTTTATTGTAACATATAAATTAGCTCATATTTGAAGTTAGAGATTTATTGCTAATTTTGGTTGCTTTTGCATAATTTTGCTGTTAACACCCCACACCCACACCCAGAGAGTATCTTAGTAACATTTGAGTTATACATATGAATATATATTGTATATATTGTGTAAAAATTTTGGCATATGCCTAGCATCTGATTTTAACAGCTGTAAGCACCTCATCTGTAACACCTTTATAGTGATGGTTCTCAGTTCTGTCATACAAGTAATAAATATTTTATGAATGGTCAACATACATAAGTAATTACCCGAAAACCTTGCATGTAAGAGAAAAACATAGTAATTTATAATAAAACAATCTGTATTTTAACAAGTACTTGCATACAACTAGAGGAAGACAATCAAGTACTCATATATTTTTCCTCATACATAGAATCACTGTGAATGTGACAACTAGGTATACAAATTGATATAAGAATGTTATAGCATTCCAGTCAATGCCATAAAATTGTGAATAGTCCTTTGTAAAGTTCAGAATGAAATTATGATCTCCTTTCAAATATATAATAATTGCATTCCTAGAAGATTTCTGTGAATATTAAAATCTTGACCCAAAAGTACAAGGTAAAGCATCTATATGTTCATCTCACCGCTGTGTCTGGTGGCTATGTTAAAGCTGCACATGGCATAGGGCTGTTCTTTCTTGGGCAGGGCATTTGGCACCCTAGTCCTCTCCTCAGATATCAGCAGTACACTCCCACATTGTTGCTGCTACAATAAACAGAAAATTTTGAAAATTCTGAGTGGGTGCTGTTGCTCCCCACTAGAACTATTACTTTATACTTGAATTAAACAAACCCTGTAATATCTGAGGTGGCAAAGGTGAACTTGTGAACACCTGTGTTTATTTTGAGAAATCAGAAAGAAAAGACAATTGGGTTCAGAAACCATATCCATCTAACACATTTGATACCACTCCTAGAGCAGTAACAAGTCAGCTGAGATATTGAATCACTAGGGATCTCCTCCAGTGTAGTGCTGGGTCACACATAGAAATCTCTATGTGATCAACAGACCATGTAGTAAAGAGCTTTGAAAGGCTGTGAATTCCCTTGAATCCTGCTGGGTAAAAGAAATGGAGAAAGCTTTAGGAGAAAAAAAGATGGCAAAAAGAGATGTTTTTGGATATTAAGACAAATCTTGAGGTGGGGTAATAATAGAATTAAAGTATTTATCAAAATCATACTGAGTTTGAAAGAAAATTCTCACTAATCTAAAGAGACTCTGATAGCTGCATTGCTCAAAAGAATTTATATTAGATTATATTTATATTTTGTATTTTTGTTTGTTGTCCTTGATTGTCAGTTTTGCATGACTACTTTTGCTGTGACTGCGTTTGTTGAACTGACCTCTGTCAGTTCCTAATCTTAGGCAGTATTTTGTGCAAGGAAAGACAAGTACAGAAGTCTTCCACTCCTTGTAATCAGGCTTTCTGTATTTGATAGGCATTTAAGAAACTGCCCTCAAGAAGATATACCCATATTTTATTCTAAGGATTTTTATTGATTTGTAAGATTTTGAGGATATCAGAAGTGCAATGAGTAGATTGATTAATTAAAAGGAAGCAAGCATAAGACAGGAAAATAAAGTAATAAAGTTAATAAGGTATTGATGAACAAAAGGAGATGTTCATTCCACTTCACAGAATTAAATATTGAGAAAAGTTATACTTTTAAAGTCTTGGTCTTTGGAAATATTTGTCCTTGGAAACTTCAAATACTTCTGATTGTTAGTAGTGCTTGATGTGTTTATATCAGATTATTATTTAAACTTTGACTTAAAATGGTTTAACATCATTTATGTCTTGTCTAGTGTTACTAAGTATCTCCATTGCAAATATCTGAGTATGGACCTATGCCCTGCCTATATATGCCCTTTATTTATAGAACATATTGATTATATATGCATAAAAAATACCACAAAAGCATGCTTTCATGAGAATTTAATGGAAAAGTCTCTACTGAGTATTCTTGGTGGTACAGGGGGTTAAGTCTCAGCACTATCAAGCTATGGGCAGGCACTGCAGCAAAAGTTCAATCCCAGGCCTTGGAAGCTGACCCAGGTGGTGCAGCAGACCTCTCCTATCTCACCTGTGCTCCCCTCAGCAATCTATTCCAGTAGATCAGCCTTTTCTGCTCCCCACTCTGCTTCTGGTGAGTCATCTCACCTTCCCTCCTCTCCCATAACTCTGACCTACACCCCAATTATTGTATGCATAAATAAATACAATAAATCTTAAAAAAAGTAAAAGTTCCTATTAGAAAATTATAAATAAATAAAATAAATCTTAAAAAAAGTAAAAGTTCCTATTAGAAAATGTAAATGTAAATATACTCAAGTAACTAACTGATTTAAACAAAATTTTGCCTGTATTTTGTGACTATTTTGAAAATTTTAAAACTTTTGCAAAGTAAAACAATAATGAATAATTAATAAATCAAAAGTTATTTAAAATACAATATTAATTAGACTTTCATATCTTTTAAGTAATTTATATAATTGTGTTCTTAACTATGTTTTATTGTTATTTTTCTTGTAGGGAGCAAATGGCGCAAGAAATGTCAGAATTATTGAGTAGGTTAGTGCAGTGTAATTTGGAGAATTATCACCTCAAAATCATATTTTTAAATTACACTTCACTATTTGGACCAGACCCTGTTATTGAATTACTGCTTTTTGTGTAAATATGCTGTACAGTATATGTCACTTCATTTCTCTGTGCATCCTTACATAAACAATAGTAAAAAGCAGTGTTTCTCTGAATCGGAATACCGTTGGCATTTTAGATGTTGTGTCCCTTATTGTTCTGCTACTCTCTGGTAATGCTGTTTGGCTTATCATTGGCCTCCACCAACACAATGCAATGTTGGTGGGAGGAACCTTTCCTCTCATTGGAACAAAAGTAGTATTTTGAAACTACTTGGGTGGAACTGCCCCTTCTTGGAAACCACTGTGCTTAGTAAAGGGGGGGAAATAGAGGGAGAGGGCCGCCTTTTGAAGGCCCCTGCACCATGTTCCATGGTTTAAAAAGCTCTGATGTAAAAATGGAGCTCTCAAAGTTTACAACTTTCCAGCAGAATCTGGTCCAGTACTTTTATAAGAAAATATCAATCGCTAACACTTTAACTTTTAATTCTGAAGTTATAAAATTAACTGCAAGTATTAAAATTAATATTTTTTAAAATTAAGTCATTTTGCAACCACCTTACTGTATTAGTTACATGATTGCCTTTTTAGCAAGTGTACACTAGTAAATTTCATGTTTATTTTATTGTTCTATACAGATAGTATATGTATATATGTCTTTCCAGAGATTGGGGGAAGAAAAATATTTAAATGCATTGCATTCATGTACCTCTTAGGATGCTAAATATATTTTTCAGCCGTAATATTTTTGTTTATGGTAATAGGAATCAAAAGTTAGTAATATTAAAACCATATTTTAAACAATAATAACTTGAATTTAATGCTATTTTTTAAACCACTAAAACAAACCTAGTGAGGTGTATATTGACACCTCATGCATATTCTTATAATCTGGAAAGCTGTTTTATTATATAAATTCACTTTCTCAAAAAGAAAACTAACAAAAGCCCATAATGATTTTTCAGCTGTTCTTCTGAAAGAATAAGGAAAAAGGGATTTCTTTTTTTGCTTGTTTATTGAATGTTGGTTTAGGAATGTAGAAAGAAAAAAAGTTGAATAAATTTCAAGGCATACGTTACTGTTAAGGGTAGTAGAGCTTGCTGACACATAGCTTGCTCTTTTTGAGCAAAGCAATTAAGAAAAAGCTACATGGAAAATTGCCAGTCATACAACTTCTAAAAATATAGATTCTGCAATTGCAGGTTTTGACCACAAAATTGCAGGAAATACTAAATCATACATTATTCTTTAGTCAGTCTTATATGTGACTAACAATAAACATGTCTAATAATATTTAAGTATGTAGGGTGAACTATGCTATTTTTGTTCTGTAAAATGAAAGCTTAAACTGGCCTTTTAAAGAGGCCAGGTATCTTATTTATGTCATTGGTAAAGTTAATATTGATGAAATAATTGCCTCATTTATAAAGAAAGATGCATATTTTCAAACATTTTACAGTAACACCTCAGTATAAGCATCTGTGTCTTGACAGTTTGCCAGGACTGCTATTGCCTTTGGAGACATAATTGTCCCTCTGCAAGGGGGTATTTCCAAGTAGTAGGTGACAAAGGAGCAGTTCCCTGTGTGGTACCTGAGAAGCAGTAGTTTGATTTTTAACATTTAGTTCTTTCATTGTTTGTGCCATTGTCACTTCATGTTTTGAATAAGATGTGTTTTAATTACTCTGATACTTTGTGCTTGAAAGTCTGCTTGCAGCTGTTCCTGAGCGTCTGCTGTGTGGAAAGTGTTATCCTTTGCTGAAAAATATGCTCATTACTACAGAAAAGAACTTGTTCCCTTACATTTTGGCTAATTATTTCTAACTATGTATGTAAAAGCAAGCCTTAAGCCCTGCATAGTGCTACTGTAGGGAAAAGTCAAATTATCCCATTTTATTCTTTTTATAAAAGAATGATAAAATGTTCTTTATAAAAATACCTTAATTTTTTTCTTTCCTGTTTCTCTAACTCAAATGTTCCTGCTACACAGGGTAAGATTAAGCACACACCCTTTGAAATCTGTCATCTGGATCATGACCTAAAACCTCTTTAACTTGTTGTCACATTGCTACTTACTGCATATGAGGACATGGTTCTCTCTACATACAGAATGTTTCTAAGTGTTCTTTAACAGTGAAACAAAAACATCAAATCAGTTTCCAGACTTCAGCATTTGTGTTAGCTCCATTAAAGGACTGATGAGTGGATTGCAGCTTGGCCATTTTCCTGTGGGCCCTGTAAACAATGCTCAGGGGATTCTGAGCTACTTGGCTGTCTAGGGCATGGCCTTCCTAGCACCCAGCAGTCCATAGGCAGTGGCAGTGGTTGATTGACTGAATGGCTCATCAATCAACCATTAATTCTAGTGCTCTTTCAAGTGCGTTGAGGATTTCTTTTTTGATTTCCAGGAGTGTGTGTATGTTATATATATTCCTGAAGTATACATTGCACATCTATGTCTATGTTCATAGGTTTACAACATTAAGTCTGGGCAAAGTCCATTGTACTAGAATATCAAAAAGAAGTTCTTGATTTCAAACCCAAGGCCATTACGCAGCACACTGGGACACTGCATTTTCCAGGGCATCCTTTAGTTCGTCATTGTCAGTCTCATCTGTCTGATACAGAAGTTACTATATGTTTTTCTAGTAGTTATTTCCTCTTTGCAAACTTAATGCTTATTTTTTAAAATCTCTTTAGTCAACATTTCCTGTATGTTTTAGTTTACATATTTAAAGATATGTAATAATTACAGAGGTCCTGCTGTTCAAGCCACCAAGGCAGCTGCTGGTACGAAGAAACACGATCTTAGCAAATGGAAATACGCAGAACTACGTGATACCATCAACACTTCTTGTGGTAAGTGAGTGGGAAGATGATAAATGCAAAGACTATATCTGGTAACTCATAAAGTAAATATCTGGATTTGGTATTATGTTCATTCGGAAATGAAAACTTCATATATTATGTTTATGTTTATGGTACAAAATAATTATGCTAGACAACTAAATTAGGATGTTAATTAACTCCTTTTTTCCATTTTAACCCATTCTGTGTAATTGCTAGATATTGAACTCCTGGCAGCTTGCAGAGAAGAATTTCATAGAAGACTAAAAGTGTATCATGCTTGGAAATCCAAGAACAAGAAGAGAAATACTGAAACAGAGCAACGTGCTCCAAAGTCTGTTACTGACTATGGTAAAAACAAATTTGTAATTTTGATTGTTTCCATGTACATATAGATAATAAAACTATACATGAGACGTTTGGGTAAAGGTCCAATACAAATTTTCTCTTACTATAGAACAACTGTAAAACTAGTGTAGAAGTGTGATTGCTGAATCTAACACAATCATGACCAACTATTTTAGATAGCATATTTTTAATGACTTTGACTTTAAAGTCACCTTTGATAAGAGGTGTTGAACTTGTTTAAATGGTATTGACTTTATTTAAATAACTTCAAGAGGTAAGAATTTTTTTGTCAGTACTAAAAAGGTTGCATTATCATGTTGTAGATGCATGTTTTTCCACACACAAAAGTGCACATGTCCATAAAGATCTCATGGACAATATAAAGATTGCTTTGAAAAAGAGAAGAGTGTTACAGTTCAGTGAAAATATAAAGGAAATATTAACCTTGATTTAGACCAGATTTTTAACTATGTCAGGGTTTTATATTTAAAAAAAAGGGGATTTTATTATTTTGTCATTGAAAGGGTAAAATTGTATATTAGAAACTGGGAAGTAGAGAAGGAAAGACGGAACCTAATAAAAGCATTGTTCTATCTTTAACTGAGAATACCTACAATAGTGGAGTTGTAATTTCATGTTTTTGAACTTGCTACTTTTAAACTGCCACAATTTTTATTAAATTCTAATAACTGGGTGACAGCCTACTTACTATTTTTTTTAAAGGGGCATATTCCTTTTTTTTTTTTTTTTTAAAGATTTATTTATTTATTCATACAGAACTGGGGTACAGGCCAGAGGGTGCGGAGGGTGAGAGGATTCACCAGAAACAGTGGGGAACAGAACAGGCAGATCGACGAAGTACACTGCTGAGGGGAGCAGCGGGCGGGTCAGGAGAGGTCTGCCACGCCATGTGGTCACCTCCGGGGCAGGCGGGAATCGAACTCATGTGGAAGTGGCTTTAGATTCTCAGTGCTGTGCTTTAACCCGCTGCGCCATCAGGGAGGGCCAAGGGGCATATTCCTTTTAAAACATACTCAAACATTTTATAATATAGTTTATCAATGTGTAAGTTAAAAGAAAATGAGCTTTGGGTTATATTTTGCTTTCCTTACCACCTTCCTGATAGTAAGTAGTAAATAAAAGGAATGTTTGATTAAAATCAGTTAAATTGTGGGATTTTGGGCTTTCTAAGTTTTTGCAGAGACTAGACTGAGAGAGTATTAATACTAATAAGAACTGTTAGTGTTAGTGATTGCTCAAGGGGAGTCTCAGTGAGAATATGACTGAGGGAAGCTCTCCAGAGATCATCTGGCAGTAAGAACTGGCAGTTGGGATGCCCGCTAAACACGGATTTTCTTCTTTGTTTTAAAAAGTTGTCTTTGTGCAGTGAAGATGACAGGATAGTTCCCTTACCTGTTTCATGGCACCTACCACATTTCTGCATTTTGGTAAAAATGGCAAGAGACTGTTTTTAACTGCAGTGTTCTAACCATGACTTTTAGCAGATAGGCTTTCCTTATCCTGAATGATTGCAATTTGAAAAATAGAAGGAATTAATGTTATAGTATTTAGCACACTCATTTTTAATGAGCAAACGAATATTTCTTGTATTTTTAAACTAAAACTTGATACTTTACTCACCCAACTTTGCCCAAAAAAGAGCAATACTTAAATACATGACTTTCCTCGGTGGTTTGATACTGTTTCCATTTATAATACTAGATGGCCCTCCCTCCTGGTGGTGCAGCGGGTTTAGGACACAGCACTGCAAGCTAGCCGCAGCCACTTCAGTGCGAGTTTGCTTCAGTGTGAGTTCGATCCCCAGCCCTGGAGGTGACCCACATGGCACAGCAGGCAGGGATCAAAATCATGCAGAAGTGGCTTTAGCTTCTTAGTGCTTTGCTTTAACTCGGTTCACCACCAGGGAGGTCCGCTTAAGTTTTTTTTTTTTTTAATAGACATTCTTACAATGATTTAATGATGATATTGGCTAAGCCATGTGTTGCTTTTTTGTTTGGGTAACATTGTATCTCCCCAAATAAAATTTACATCATTTTTGTATGTTTTCCAAGCAAAATTTCCTAAACATTATCAAAATAGCTTAAAAAAATCTGAAGCTGTTCATAATTCTGACAATACTGGGGGTTACTTTTTTGTCACCACCTCAGTTGGTGGGTAGGTTTATAAATTAGGGGATGAGCATATAATAGCTTTGGCATTTTTATCTTTTCTTCAACATGAAATGTTTGTTCACAGATTTTGCGCCATTTTTGAACAATTCACGTAAGTCACCGGGTGATAATTCATGAGCTAACTGGAAGATGGGTTAAAAATACTTTATAAGATACTAACTTATGTGAAAACATTGTTTTGCTACAATTTTAAGTGGAATTGTGCATTAATGTTGGCTTGTCTGTACTAAGATATTTGAGATGATTCTTTTATTTGGATGACTCCAAAATATATATTCAGAAACAAAACTTAATTGTTTTATTAGATAACTTTATTTGAAGTAATAGTATTTAAAACTGAGTATACACAATTCTTTTTGTAGCAAAATTAAATAAACAGCTATTCTTTTAGAATAAAGACTAACTTTAGGTGCTGGTTTCAAATACTGTCTAATTTTCAAACACTTGGTGGTGTGTTTCTGTCCAAAGAGATGTGACTTTTACATGATAATGTGTACAGGTTTAATAGGATACTCCCTAAAGGAAAGAGGGGCTAACTGCTTCTGATGTATATATTTTGGTAGTTTAAAGCTTTGAGTGATCTTAGTGTACAGTGAATTTCTTCTAGAATAAGTCAAGTGGTAATTATAGAATGCCATATTTACTTGCCAACTTGTTGAGCCTGGTTTTTTTAAGTGCTCCTGGTAATTTATGGGGTTACATTTGAAACTGACTTCACACTTTTGTAGATAACACATTTGGAATTGAACTAAATGGTTGTTTGGAAGATTAGTTTCAAGCTTTTAATGTCTTATCTTTTTTCTGATGGATTTTTGCTTCCAGGCTTCCCTAATAGAAATTCACATTAGTAGAAACAGTTACCAGAGTCTTCCTGTTCGGTTTCTTAATTTTACCCAATGTACCATCACAGTAAGTTTCCTAGCAAATAGATAATGAATTCCAATTCATTGCCTAAGATGGAAGGGAGGTTTTATTTTTTGGCATTTTAAGGTGTTTTAATTTTGAGTTAGTGTACTTTCTGCCAGGTAGGTAATATTAAAAGTAAAATAGAAACTCTGAGCTGTAAGAAGTTTGGGGGAATAGGAACAAAAGAGTAAGTAATTGTAGCTCTGTTAATATGCTAACGGTAGTGGGACTTCTCAAAGTCACTAACAAGACTGGGTCACTGTTTCATGGGCTACATGGCTTTACTAACTGCTTTGGCTTTCTCTGGTTTGCACAGAATTAAACTGAACTGCTATAAATCTTGTTGTTTGTTGGTATGAAAAGTAGAATAAGTATTTTCAGCCTTTCAGTATTTGGAAAATCTTATAAAAGCCACATGTGGCTATTACGTAGATTCATGGGTAGAACTCTTCAGTGACTCCTAATTGAGCTGCAGTAAATAATCCACTTTTAAAATTGGGATTAAGTGAATTTACCAATATTTTGCTGTAGCAGATATAAAGTCATTTCCCCAGGGAAGTGTTTTTATTTGCAAGTAAGATAAAAATCTAGCTGTTTAGTAATGAAAATTGAGTGAAGGAAAATAATTTGCTAGGAGGGCAGTGATGGTTAATAGCAGAAAAGCAGGAGAACCAAATACAATAATATACTTTCTACTTACTTCAGTGGATTTTATTTCAAGAGAAGTCATGATTTCAGGGTAAGTAAATATCTCTGAGGGAAAGTTCATGCTTACTATTACAGGATTTTTATTACTGGTATGCAAACATTTAAATAGTATTAGTAGAATGTCTGTTATCTTGGCCTTTTTAAATCCCCAAATCAGTTGACAGAAAAGTCTTTTTTCTTCCACATTTTTAAGGAAGTTGTTGTTAAATAGACAAATAATCACAATCCTTCAGATTTTTGAAATTACTTCTTGTTTGTTTTTTATCACAGACAGCCCAGTAAGAGTTATGTGAGCTCATTGAAGAAAGTATAAGTCTAATGAATAATATTAGCTTGCTTTTCTGCCATGAGTTTAAGTTACTGGTATAGTCATTTGTGGAAATCTCTAGGGCTCCAGTTGATGTTTTCACTGCTATTACAGTTGTTTGTGTCCTGCCTGCAGTGGAAAGGAATATCTTTAAGGAAAGAAAATTCTCAGAAATCACACTGAATTGTATTCATTTATAGGCAGCTAATATTTACATTTCACTTTAAATTGACTATCAAGAACCTCTTCTTTTTTTATAAAAAAAAAAAAAAGCCTTTTAGGATGCAAGTTATCCCATGGGCTTCGGGTATAACTTTGCTTGTTCTATGTAACAGCTCAGCAGAATCCAGCAGCTCAGCTTCCTGCCAGACAGCAGGAGATTGAAATGAACCGCCAGCAGCGCTTCTTCCGCATCCCATTCATCCGCCCTGCTGACCAGTACAAAGACCCACAGAATAAGAAAAAAGGCTGGTGGTATGCCCATTTCGATGGACCGTGGATTGCCCGGCAAATGGAACTCCATCCTGACAAGCCACCCATCCTTCTTGTGGCTGGTGTGTATGACTCCCCTAAAAAAATATATATATAACACAAGAAAGATTATAAACCCACTGAATGAAGCAGTTTAATATGTAATGCAATAATTCATTAACTTTCAGGATTAAAGGGATGGAATTTTGCAGATAAATCACATTTTCAGTTAATTGAGGATTAGTTTATTTATAATGTGAAACCACTTGGATTAATTATATCCTTGTGTAGCACACAAGAACATGTCTGTGTCCTCAGAACATTTTCACTGGTGTTTAAATTTATCAGTTGACTTGTAATCGTTTGAATAAATGTAGCATTCTGTTAACTCTGATAATTCGTTTGGTCAACTCTACTATTAATACATTTTGAGAATGGTTCTGGCTGGGAGTTTCTCATGAATTTATTAAGCATATTTCAATTCTAGAGGGAGAAAAAAATTTTAAAAGTCTTGAAATATGTAAGAATTGATAGATATGTGAGGAATAAAGTTTTTAATAAACAGCAATATGGTAATTCTCATGTCTTCTATGCAGGTAAGGATGACATGGAGATGTGTGAGCTGAATCTTGAAGAAACGGGCCTGACCCGAAAGCGTGGTGCTGAGATTTTGCCAAGACAGTTTGAAGAAATTTGGGAACGCTGTGGAGGCATCCAGTACCTTCAGAATGCAATTGAGAGCAGACAGGCTAGGCCCACGTATGCAACAGCCATGCTACAGAATCTGCTGAAGTAGATGTTGCACTAACCTTGTAGCTGGAGCCTTTGCCATGGTACTAGGTAGGGTGTGTGGCCTAGAGGTTGAACCATTCCGTAATCATGTTAGAATTACTCATAAAAAGTGGACAGATTTTAGTAATCCTGGCTTTTTGTTAAGTTAATTATGGTAGTAATTTGGGACCTAAAGTTTATTTTCCTGTATTCATGATAACTGTTAAATCTCTCTTTCTAATATTGTTACACTTGGACTGGTTCTGACATTTCTCATCCTCTGCCAACAGAGTGCCTTCAGTCTATCATAATTATTGTCTAGGAAAATAAATTTAAAAATTCAGGATATGTGGCTTTTAAAGAATGACACATGATATAACTGGAATAATGAAATCTTAGCTTAAATTCATACAAAAATTAAGGCACTTAAAGTGAGCTGGATACTGATATTTTGATGTGAAAAACTGTCTCCTTTCTCTATTCACTTTTTCAGATATTGATGGGAATTTCCACCAGAGGTGAAATTTTATTTTTTCCCTTTGCACTGTTTCTTAGTTTGAATAAAGCAATTTGTCTAAAAGTCTTGAAATCTAGAAAGAGCCTTGATGTATTTAATGTACTCTGTACTAAACAAGGTACTTAGATCCTGCACAGACCTGTTTTTCCTTTCTATTACATTGTGTGTTGCTCTAAGAATATTTTTCTTATATTCCATGGATTAATGAAAGAAATTCAGATCACTTAAATGCATAAAAACTTTGTGATAACTGTCCTTTCATTTAGAAAAGGAAATAAGTTTTAGTTGGCACTGTGGCTTAACTGGACTGAAATATTCAACAGTTCTTTCAACTTCATCTCAATTATAATTTTTGTCTCAGAATCATGTCCAAGTTGTTTCATAGATTTAAATAAGTGTTGTTTCAGACATCTTTCCTTAAAAAACAAAGAAACTCCTAGTGTATTTTTGGCCTTTGAGATTTTAGTGATTGTAGAGCTGTTTTATAAGCTTTGTAAATCAAAAGTCCTTCTACTGAGTAATTGCTTGATTCATGTAACTGATTAATTAAAAAAAGTTTTTTTTGTGTGCTGTTACTTTTGATCAGATGTCAGCAGTTTCAAGCCTAATATTTTTGACTTACACATTAGGAATTTGGAGACAAAAATACATCAAGGAGTTATGTTGACATAAGATGTTTTGTTTGTATTTTAGAATAAAATTAGAAAATGAAATTATTCTCTGTACCTGTTTTCCCCCACCCCTGCACCCCACGATTTTTAAAGATGCTACTCTTTGAAAGGAATTTTCAGTAATTTTTGCTCTAGAAAGAATAACTTCAGTTAGGAAAATAGTTCCCAGCTGATTAGATTAGTGCTTGTGAGCCACAAGCACTGTTTTCAGGATTGCTTTTCTCATAAATATATGTCTCAGTATGGAAATATTTATTTATTATGATACTTTGCAAATGATTGTCTTCTGTGAAAGAAATTAAGTGGCCCGGTCTGTGCTGTTGAGAATGTCAATGTGATTATCTTTTGAAGGCTGCATAGACTCACCCACCTCGGGTCATTTGGTCCCTGTGATTGGTGACAGAAGGTCTGATTACTGAAATAAATGACCTGTTTTTTCCTCTCTCCTCATCTGGTGCCTTTAATTGGAGTGTTTATTTGTATAGGCTAGTGAATAATAAGCTTTGTTGCTTAATTACTCGCAGGTATAGTCCTTGACAAAACGTAGGAACCAAATAGATTTTTAATGACTTGGCCCTTTAGCACTGTTTTCAGGAAGAGATTTATATCTCTCCTAGATACAGCTGGGCACTATATGGAAAAAAGAATCAAACAGGTTAAAATCACTGTAATGAGAGAACTGAAAAATTTGTAAGGAATATATTGTGGCAAAATATTGTCACAATTTTTAATTTTTTTTTAATCTTAGTAGCTAATATAATTATACTCTTAAGTCATTTGTTGGTTAATTATGTCACATAGCTGTCCTAGAACTTATCTATTTAAAGTTGTCTCCTGAGTTAATTTTGGCTACCAGGAGAACTGCCCTAATTCAGATAGACTGACAGTAACCTACATAACTAGTAGATGTACAAACAGGCCCCTTTGCTGGGGAAATTTAGGACCTTATCAGCTTTTTAAGAGAAATAGCAGTAGCAGGGTTCTAAAAATGTGATACAGCTGCCTTACCATTCTCACAAGCAAACTCATAAACACTAGGTGAAAAAGTGTAGGAACAAAAGCAAATTCATACTTTAATCACTCATTTTAATTGAGATTTAAAATTAGCATACTATATATTTGAAACTAATCTCTTAATACTTGTCTCACAAAATAATCACTTCCTTCCTTTGTGTCTTACAAAGATAGGTATAAGTACCACATTAAAAAGGAGAAACAAAATGTTTTCACATCAATTCAATTATGAAGTAATTCCTCTAACACATTTGAGATATATGAGCTATGCATACATACTGAGAAAAGAATGTTTCTCTAATACACAAATGTCAAGAGAAATGGAGTTTCTTAGTTGTAAAGTTGAGTAGATAACTTCTCGGAGGATGAAATGAGGAAGTAATGAAATAATGCGCCCAGGAACACAAGCCCAATGAATAACTTTCTGTTGTTACACTCTGCTTCCTATTATAATTTTCATAGGTCATTCTTTCCAGTAATACATGAAACCTTTCATTTTGCAAGCAGCAAGAAAAGATCTTAGTGGAAAACGGGTGGTATTTGTGGAAGTTTAGAGAAATACAAACAGGCAAGAATAAATTTTTATTATTTGTACAGCTTAATTAATTTGACTTTAAAAAAGATGTTTTCATTCACAGGTTATTACTACGGTTCTCAGGGCATCCAATTATGTAGAACTTTGGTTTCTTTACCTAAAGTACCTTTGAGTACTTGAGTCAGTAGAATAAATATTTACTGAATGAATAAGTCAATCAATAAATACAATGTTAGTGGTTGACCAACCTCCTCTTACACAAGAGGTAACAGAGATTCAGAGAGGCCAAGTAAATTTAGTTCTAGACTGTGAAAGAGATAAATAAGCCTTTGTTCAGTCATCCGGAGCAAAAAAGAATCAAAACATTAATTTGAGTAGCTCCCTGAGAATTTATAAAGGATTGCACCTCTGACATGGACATCTTCAGAAGGAATGACAGGTTACCAGCAATGACAAATATTAAGAATTTTAATTTCTACCAGAAGATTACAATGGGAGGGTAGGCAGACAACATGTAAAAATGAGAATAAAGACAAGTTGGAAGAGGGACACAGAGAGAGGAGTGAGAAGAGGGGAATGGCCCTGAAGACCCTACACCCCCAGGTGAAGAAACCCAAAACGCTCTTAGATCTTTGTTAAGACTTGGATCACAAACTTTGGTGCACACATTCTTAGCAATATCAAAATGGCACTGCCACGCCAGAGTAAAGACCAGCAGTAAGCAACATTTGGTGCATGGCCTGATGGAAATGGTGGAGGTAAAGCTGACTCATGCCAGCACCAGATCTTTGAATATCATTAGTTTCAAGTCCATTTTGTTTCCCTTTTCTATCATTAATATAGACAACGTAAATTTATCAGTTTTTGAGAAGTTTTTCAGGAGATCATCAGGGGAAATAAGCACATCAAAAGAGAATCTTTAGTTTGTATCTATGCAAAATTTCACCTTCAAATCTCAAAATAGGCTATGATTGGCTGAAAATTAGTCATACTCTCTTCTGAAAATTACTCTGATTGTATGGCTACTGTTTTTCCTCTTGTATTTTAAAATATGTTTCTGATGTTTACCTAAATTTCTGATATACTGGAAATACAAATAAATGCTTTCTGTGTAGAATTTCCTCTTGACTCCTGTGTTTTTAATCCACTTACAAGGTGTTAACAAACAACAAAAATGTTGTGTTACCTTCATTGCCCTGTGTCCCAGATGGAGTAAACTGAAGCTTCATCTAGTCACTAGAGCTGGAAGCCCTGTGCTAGGTGGTTAGAAGAGGCAAGGAACTCAGGGTGACTGAAATGTCCTTGAACTTGAGCCCCAACCAAGCAGGACTGACTACACGAGACTTGATTACTCGCTATGTCCACATTAGAGAAAAACCAAATCATGGTTGTCACTCTCCAGGCCCTTCACTGATGTGTTTGTGTGAAGACACAGGATGTAAAATCGGGGAACTCAAAAGAAGAGTCCTCCCTACTACAAATATTGCTGGTCTGTGTCTACTCGATGCCTCTAACCTGAAACCCACTTATGATTTGCTGGGTTTTCTGAAAGTGCAGAGAGACTCCAATCATCTTACCAAGAGTTCTGTGGCTGGTTGGAAAAGATCAATCTCATGGGTAGGTCATAATTGAGAGGCACTTGCTTGAAAAGGGGACCCTCTGAAAAGAAAGTGGAGTGTTTACCTATTTCCTTTCTTAAAACCATGTTCTTTATGGTAATTAGAGCACAACTAAAATCTGGGGGGTCAGAGGAAGGCACATTATGGAAAGGTGATAGTGTTAGATTTGGGTTTTCTCTTGATGGCATTTTTTTTCATGGGCTCTTGGTCATTCTCCAAACAAATATGTTTTCTTCTGGGAAGTTCCTGGAATATGGGGGGTGAGTTCTTTGCCACCATTCTTTGCTTTGTGGAACTTCATCCTATCCCAATGTGAAGTCCTGGTTCCATATCATAGCTCCTTCCTTTTAGGGAGGATTCTGTGGGAATAGAGATGAAAGTGTATTTATGCAGCCAACATAAATAAATTTTCTTCTATTTTGTAAAGATTGATTTATTTATGCATACAAAATTGGGCCAGGGACTGTGAGTGACTCACCAGAGACAGAATGGAGAGTAGAACAGCCTGAGCACACTCCTGAGGGAAGCGTAAGACAGGAGAGGTCTGCTGCCATATGGGTCACCTGGCTGGGGATAGAACTCATGCTGAAGCAGCTAGCTTTGTAGTTGCTGTGTTATATTTAACCTGTGGTAACACCAGGGAGGCCCTAAATTTTAAAGGGTTTGTAATAAGGGGTGGGGGTGGAATTATCATTTCCCATAAGATGATTATGAGGAAACATTTTGTCTCTTTTTGAAACTTACTGTTACAGTCAATGTATATTTTTCTTTGGTTGGCATGCTTAAGATCACTTATAATCCATTAAGCAAATCCAAGAAATATGTAGTAAACAGACCCATTTTGTTATAAATTGAGGAATATACCGCTATATTGTATTGAAATTAAGGTTTTGCAATAAGTATATTTGACAATGGGACATTTGAAAGAAATAACAATTCATTTTTCATTACGTAGGCATTAATCTAGGCTAAACTAGATTACTTTGGTGTCAATTTACCTATACACACATTAAAGTTAGTGCAAAAAAGTGTTCAGTAAATATAAAGGCGGCATAGTTCAGCTGTAATGATGAACAACAGCCTCACTTTCCCCCATACATTATATTGTCTTCCTGGAAAGTCAACCTTTTCATGGCATAAATGTATCTCAACTCCAGCTCATTTTTAAAGGAACAGTTTAGAAAGTAGTAACAAAAGAATCTAATGTAAGCAATAACTTTTGGTAGAACTAGTGTGGCTAAGAACTGAAGGTGTGTGTGTGTTCCAGACATTGACATGTGCAGCATATAAATCCTTACCACAGTGTTTACATATAAGACACAGTCATACACTTAGAACCATATATCCACACACAACCCAAAAGTAAGTTGCTCTTGTAAATGTTCTATGAATAATATTTTAAGGGGAGTTGGAAGAGAAACTGGTTTACTATCATCCTGTTAGCCAGTCGTAGCTGAAATATATTTCACTGATTGGGTTTTGGTAACCAGCATTCCTCTCACCACCCCCCTGGTCTGCCCCCCCCCACCACAGAATTTACATCATCAAGTACATAGTTTTACGTTTGAAATGTGACGTATTGTTCTCAGTGTTAACTGTATGCCTGCGTTCCAGTAACCAATGAAAATTCCTGCCTGTGTTTTCAGAATTTTGACTCAGTTGCTAACAATTTTCCTTTCAAAAGCAAGACATTTCTCTTGATGTAGACTAATAATTATTCCATTTTCAAACTTTTTAAAATTTCTTTCACAACTGGATGATTAAATTCTACTCAAATCTGAAATCTCAACCTCTTCTGTCTTTCCAATTTTCTTTGCTTCAAGAAATAAAAATGGCACAAATTCTTACTAGTATGCACTTGACACATG